GGAATTTGTCGCTTTGACTATAAGGTGTATTCAAGTAGGTTTCGATTTTGTCGTGACAAATTAAACCTGATCAATATTGATTAAACATATTTTGAGTCGAAAACGAAATTGAAAATGTGATTTTTAATAACAATTAATATTTTTTAATGAAAATTTTAATTGGGGAATTTGTCGCTTTGACTATAAGGTGTATTCAATTAGGTTTCGATTTTGTCGTGACAAATTAAAATTGATAAATAGTGATTAAAAAATTTTTTAGTCGAACACGAAATTGAAAATGTGATTTTTAATAACAATTAATATTTTTTAATGAAAATTTTAATTGGGGAATTTGTCGCTTTGACTATTAAGTGTATTCAAGTCGGTTTCGATTTTGTCGTGATAAATTAGAATTGATAAATATTGATTAAACAAATTTTAAGTCGAAAACGAAATTGAAAATGTGATTTTTAATATCAATTAACTTTTTTAATTCAAATTTTACTTGGGGAATTTGTCGCTTTGACTATTAAGATCATTTTATTTGGTTTCGATTTTGTCGTGACAAATTAAAATTGATAAATACTGTTTTAAAAAAGTTAACGTCAAAAATGAAGTAAAAAATTGATTTTTAATAACAATTAACATTTTTAATGAAATTTTTGTAGTTAGTTATATGTAAGTGAAATGAGGTAATGAAATTAATTTTTTTTAAGAACATTTTTTTTTGCTTGAGTAGTTCTTCGTATGAGTAGTTGATTAATTTTTTTTTATAATTTATGATTACGTATTTTCTCTTGCATAGATTTTAAATTCTTATGAAATAATTTAATTTAGTTTAATGTAAAATTTAACAAATAAGTTTTTCTTTTTTCTATATGAATTACATTTTTTTTACTGTACTTATGTGATTCATCTGCAGTTGTTTAATTTACATTCATTTACAGTTCGTATAAAAATTTTTTTCTTAATTTTATTTTTAAATTTAAAAAAAATTTTTTAATAAATTTTTTTTAAAATTTTTTTAATTAATTTTTTGGGTATTTGGAAAATGAATTATTTGGTCTTGTTACGGCAAAAAAACGGCAAATTTCTGTCAAGAAGAATTTTGTGAATCTTTGTAAACAACGGAGTTAGAATGGGTGCTTCGCTAACTTTATGTAAACTTAGCAAAGCACCCTATTTTAAAAAAAATTTGAAGAGCGACAAAATTTTTTTTTTCACAACTAATTAGCGACTAAAAAGCGGCAAATTTTGGTCTATATAAGACTTTTGGTTTTTGAAGTTGTTTCGCTAAGTTTATGTACGTTATATTTTTTCCTCCAGTGTATTCTTTAATTTTTTTGATGAGAAGTAAAATTCTATCAATGGAAAGTAAAAACATAAAAAAACAAATTTATATTACTTTTTGTTTTTTATGTTTTTTATCTTGCATTGATCGAATTTTACTTTTCATCAAAATATACACCTGAAAGGGAATTTCTCATTTATCTTTAAAAAAATTTTTTTAATTCTTTAATTAATAATCAATAAATAATACAATTATAATTATCAAAATACAATTATCACAAATCACACAAATAATAAATAAAAATCGAATTTTATTTTTTTATTTTAACCTGAAAAAATTATAGTTCTATATTTTTTACATAATTTGAAAAAAACCTTTTGAAATATAAAATAAATATTTTTTTAAAATAAAATAAATATTTTTTTAAAATAAAATGTCTCAGTGTTTAGAAAGGGTATTTTATTTCAAACCTCGATTCATCGCCGGGAGTCAGGTTTAAATAAAATCCTTTTACACGGTTATTAATTTCACAACTTGACGTTTGTGCACAATATTATATGTATGTCAACGCCCTTTCCTTTATAAAGAATTATTATATTGAATTCCATTCAATTATATAATGAATAGTGATAGTGATTATCATTATACAGTGAATAGTATTATAATTATACACTCAGAAAAAAAATTGTCTCACAGTCAAATAAATTTTTATTTGTTTCAAATAAATATTTATTTGTTTCAAATAAATATTTATGTATTTTTTTTTATTTTTGTTTCATTATGCTAACTGTCATAGAAACTTTATTTTTAAAATAAATAAAAATAAATTCTCAAATTCATTAGAAAAATAATTAAAAACAAAAGAAAAAAAAATAATTATCTATCTATGTAATTAAAAATCAATCATGTCTTAATATAAAAATTTTATCTACTTTACTTTTTTTAATATTTAAAAATAGATTTTATCTGTAGAAAATTAAAATTTTTTTTCATGAAATAATAATAATTATTATTATCAACAATCATAAGAAGTAAAAAAAGTAAAAAATAAAGACATAAAAATTTCAAAGATTGTTTATAGAAAACTAAGTAAACTTTTTTCAATTGTGGTAATTGACTGATAAGAAGTGATAATGTTTTACAATTCCGATAACACTTTCGTGCTTCGTGCATATACACCGTATCAAGGCGGGTAGAATAGTAGAATGTTAAAAAGTATCAGAAAATCGAGAAACGTTGTGAGGCACACAACATTCGTCTGTGCGTTCAGTGCGTTAAAAAAATTTTCATTATACAAAAAATTCAATGTTTTTTAAAAATTTTCATGTAACAACAGATGAAATATGTTATTTTTTCATTTTTATAATATCCTTGACAATTGTTTACGTTAGTTTAAACATAATTATCGGTTCATTATATACAGAAATTAAGTGACAAATTAAAAAAAAAATTATATTCATCATTAATTGATTTCAATTTTTTTAAATGTAAACAGAAAATAAATTTACTTCTAGTAAAATATGGAAAAGTGCATCTTTACCAGTTTGTGGATTTTTAATGATACTAATTGTTTAAACCGTTGGGAGGAAATTTTTTTCACGAGGTTTTTACTGTTATATTATTTATCATTGCATTGTAGATTATTACATTTAAAGTGCTATTATAGTATTATATTATATTATGTTATATTACTGTAATATAATATTTATATTATAATAATGTATAATTATTTTTTATAATATATAATAATTTTTATCATTGTCAATTTTTGTATTTTTGTTATTATTTAATATTTATATAGTCAATCTATTTCTATTATCAATACTTATAATTTACAAAAATATTTTTATTTTCTGAAATGAAAATATTTTAAAGCAAATGAAAATAAAAATTTTTATCAGCTTTAATTTCAATTTTTTCAGTATTTTTTACAATAATTATTCTAACCATATTTTTTGGGGAGGCGAATGATTTTGTTTAGATATTTTAATTTTTTTCCGAATGATATACATACCCAGAATAGATGGAAATATATAGTTCATTGATCATCTCAGTTTTTCACCGTTTTAATGATATCTAAGAGTAAATTGACCCACATAAGATCCGATTACAGAAAATTATACTCCGCTTTATAAAATTGCCTGTCACTAATGCTAGATTTCCTTATGTCATGTGCCAAACAGTTCTTGTCAAGTTTTATTAAAATCTTTCTCGGTATTATTTTTTGAAACTAAAAAAATAGACTTTTATTAAATCAAGACCCAGAGAATTGTTTTCTTTTCATTCATTTGAATCAAATAAAAATATATTTATGTCTCAGAGCCTAATCATTTTCTATTTATTTTAAATTTAAAAAAAATTATTTAGCAAAAATTGAATTTTATTTAGCCGAAATAAAATTTTAATTCCAACCAAGTAAAATTTATTTTAAGCCCAGGTCCAAGTCGTGTCAGCTGTTCCATTGAAACTTCAAAGGAATAGCTGACTCGACTTGGACCTGGCCTTAAGAAAATAAAATTTGAATTTAAAGAAAATAAAAATTATTTGTAACAAATAAAATTTATTAAAACCAAAATGAAATTTATTTGAACCAAATAAATATTTATTTGGCTCTGAGATAAATACACCTAGAAAAATCTTTTATTTGAGACAAAAATAAAATTTATTTGCATCAAATAAAAATATATTTGTCTCAGAGCAAAAGAGAAAAATCTTTTATTTGAGATAAAAATAAAATTTATTTGCATCAAATAAAAATATATTTGTCTCAGAGCCTAATAACTATTTATTCGATTAAAATAACAAATTTAATTTAGTAAAAATAAATTTTACTTAGCATAAATAAAATTTTTATTTAAACCAAATAAAATTTATTTGAAACAAAAATCAATTTGGCTCTGATATAAATATACACCCAGAGAAATGATTTATTTGAGCCAAATATAATTGTATTTGAATTAAATAAACGTATATTTGTCTCAGAGACAACTAGTCTATTTATTTGACGTAAATAAAAATTTTATTTGTCATAAATAAAATTTCTATTTAAATCAAATAAAATTTATTTGCAACAAATAAATATTTATTTGGCTCTGAAACAAATATATTTTTTTCTGGGTGTATATTTTCTTCGAAAGCAAAATCTTCGAACTATTTTGTAAAGAATTTAAAATATTTTATTAAAAAATTAAGTATGCGATATATAAAAATAATAATACTTTTTAATTATATAATTACAAATGAATTACATTCCAAAAAAAACGCAAGCGGTGACAGCGGTGGGACCAATAAATTCGCCAGAGATTTAGCAAAAGTTTTTACCTATTTTTAAATATATTCCCGTGACTTTTTTTGCTATAAATTAGTTAAATTTAACTCAACTAGTTAAATATTTTGTTTACCAATGAGTAAAATAATTAATTTATAGAAAAAAATCAGTTACTAATTCAAATTAGTGAAACATTTTTTACTATAAATCGAACCCATAAAATTCTATGACAAAAAATTCGGAGATTTTGCTATATAGAAATTTTTTTTTCGAAACAAAAAAAATGAATTGAATACTTGATGAAGAGATGTGAGTTGAAATTTCAAAGGAATGTGCCTGTCAACTGTTGTCTAGATCTGATTCCTCCTTCACCCTTTGAGTACTTATAACTATACATATATATCTACAAACGCGCGATAATACAGTGTAGGTGAGACCGGGACTGTGAGTGCGATGTCCCGTTACGGGACCTAGAAGGCCCCACAAAGCTGACGGTCACATCCAGTCAGTTCTCTCAGTACTTCAAAACAGATCCTCGTGTCGCGTAACTCGTGCATGGATATCGCTGCCTATGACGCTCTTTCGCTACCGTTGTTCAACGTCATTTTACTACCGATTTCGCTGGGTAAACAAAAAAAAAATCGAATTGAGCGCCTTTTTTTTATTTTACCGTAAAAAAAAGACAAAATTTAATTTTTTTATAAATACTTTTTTTTCCGAATTTAATTTGGTTTTTAAATATACTTTGACATTTTTTGTAAAATTTATTTATTTAATTATTTATTAATAAACTAAATTATTGTATAACTAATAAAATAAATTTATTAATAAATAATAAAATTATTATTATTAATGACTATTATGATAAATTATTTATTAAAAAAAGGGCAAAATTCGATTTTTGAATTGTAATCTTTAGCATTATTTTCAAATTGGTTTTTCTCTTTTTTTTGCGAATTTAAGGAACATTTCTCCCCCATTTTCTAAATTTTGAATTAGTAAAAATTTTATAATTTGAATTAGTGACTCACATTTTGTTTTTGATTTAGTAAAATTTAATTAATAAAATTAATACACCTAGAGAAAAAAATATATTTATTTGAGTAAAATAAAAATTTTATTTGCGCTAAATAAAATTTTATTTATGATAAATAAATTTTTTTTACTTAAAACAAATAAAAAATATTATCTTTGCTCTGAGACAAATATATTTTTATTGCGGTTTAAATTTTATTTTATTTGTATCAAATAAATGCAAATAAAAAATTTTTCTTGGTGTATTTGTTTGAAATAAATTTTATTTGGTTTTAATAAAACTTTATTCGTCTCAAATAAACGACAATAAAATATTTCTCTGCAGGTGCAGTAGAAAACAATTTTGTTTACTATCGAATTAGTAAAATTTAACAAATTCAAAAGCGAAAGGCGAGTCCCCAATTAGTTTAAATTTTTACTAATTCAAATTTAGAGAGCAATTTAATTTTTTTTTTATTTCAAGTACAATTTATTGCAAAATTTATCAAAAAAAAAGTGATTTTAAATTTATGGTTTTTTTTTCAAGAAAACGCTCGATTTGCGTGAAGTTTTTTTTTATTTTATGTTATATAGTAATTTTTATAAATGTAAAAAAAATTCAATTTTGAAAAATGAAATTTATTTTTGAGTGGAAATTTGTTCTGTATATATATATTCCTTTTTAATAGAGATGCAAAAACGAGATGTAGAACTACGCGTGTTCGACATGAATCGCATCCAGTTATTACACTTCGCCTGAGGCCTCATGTGAGTAAAACGTAGTGTGTGTATATATTCGCGATACAGAAAAGTGATTTTCATTCAAGTTTTGCATTCACTTTAAATTATATATTGACATTTTCATAGCAAGCGATGTGGGTCTTTTCTTGAAAATTAATCATTTATGCTATATTACTTCCCTTTTTTTTATTATTAATGACTTTATATTTTTCTGTTTCCAAAATTTATTCACAGTATTTTATTTTTATTGTGAAAATTTAAAATTAATTAAATACTAATGAAACATTTATTTTTACATTTAGGTTTTTTTTTACATCGTGTAGGAAATTATATAATTATTTTTAAAATTAATTAATCATTTAATTATTAATTTTTTATGCTTTTCTTGATTTTGTATTATTTTGAAATTATAATTTTATTATTTAATTATTATATTTTATTATTATTATTTAATTTTATGATACCTATTTTATTATTTTATATTTTATTTTTCATAATTTTCACTTTTTAGTCGAATTAAATTAAAAATATTTTACGTATTTTAATATATGATTTGTATTGATTTTTTTTCAGAAAACACCGGTAGCATTGCCTCCTTGAAAAGCCCATAAAAATTAGCCATGGGTCGCACGGGGTACACATGCATCAGACACGTCTTCTGTTCACTTAACGTTTTGATATGGGTCAGTATATTATTACGTTCAAATTTCATATTAATATTTCAGTTTTAATTTACGTCAAAAAAAAAATACCAAAAAGTATATATATAAACAGATCAATAATACAACTTCCCCTCGTTTATATATTTCTATAATATAAGAATTGTCACGACATAAAAACCCCCTTTAAGAATTTTGACAATATAATTTTATATTATTAATTTTCCTACACCCAGAAGAAAAATATTTTATTATTTGTATTTATTTAAGACAAATAAAATTTATTTGAATTAGAAATATTTTTATCTCAGAACCTAATAACTTTTTGTTTAAAAAAAAAATTAATTTAGCAGAAATAAAATTTTATTTACCGCAAATAAAATTTATTTGAAACAAATAAAAATTTTTTGTCTAAAACAAGAAAAGTGAAATTTACGTATTATTTTTTCGAAAACACTTGAAAAAATTTGTCCATTTTACAAGAAAAAAAAAAATTATAATGTGGAAAATGTAGTTAAAAAAAATATATTTAATTTATGAAAAAAAATCTCCCACGCGAAGTTTATATTATATTTCAAGTTTTGTCTCAAGTTGGAAAATAATATACACGCGGAATTAGATAATTTTATCCACAAAAGACCGCCTTCTCAATATGGCAAATGAACAATCAAGATTGTCAACACACAATCGCAAATTCCATCCATTGCAATTTCTACACGCTTAAATAGTCATACCACTTGAAATCGTCTTCCGTTCTGAATAAAAGGCTTTTAAATGGGGCGTTGAACCACACGTTCTATGATCCACACGATTGTACAATACCCAATTGAGCAATTTTTTTTTCTTTTTATTTCTTTTTTTTTCAAATGCGAATTTTACGGATTTGTTCTTTTTATATAGCGTAATTTTTAATTTTTTTATTGGAACGTGTGAGAAAGAATTCCCCCCCCCCACCTCTTTCTCGCTTTATGTATACTCTATATGCCAATAAAGGTCAATATCTTTCAATTTTTTTTTCACTTAGTAGGTTACCTACAAAACTTGACAACATAATTTTTCCCATTTCTTTTATGATTTCTCCTTGACATTATTATTTCAAGAGCATATTGTCAAAAGGTTTCACGTACTTTGTTATAGGGAAAGATACGTGATTCTTTTGCAGAAGGTACGAAAAAAAGAGTTTTATATACGAGTACAAAATTATTCAAAAATTGATAGGTATTTGGAGAATAAGAAATATTTGTTTCAGAGCCAAATAAATATTTATTTATTTCAAATAAATATTTCAGTTAAATAAAAATTTTATTTTCGCTAAATAAAAATTTATTATTTACTTTTATTACTATTATTTACGTTATATAAAAATTTTATTGATGTTAAATAAATTTTTTTATTTAAACCAAATACAATTTTTATTTAAACTAATTTAAACAAAATAAAATTTATTTTATAACAAATAATATTTTTATTTAAACTAATTTTATTTAAATATATAAAATATTTGACGAAGCTGAAGTATGCAATGTTTATGATAAACAATTTTTAAAGAAATAATTTTTAAAATGAAAAATTCTATAATTTTTCGCTTAAAAAATATTTCTTGTATAATTTTCATTAATCAACAAATTATAAAAAAATATTTTTTAGGCAAAAAATTATTGAATTTTTCATTTTAAAAAAATTATTTCGTTTATCATAAAGAATGCGTACTTCAGCTTCGTATATTTGAAACAAATAAAAATTTAATTCTGAAAAATATATTTCTTTTCTATATAAAGAGATTTTTTTTTCAATTTTGGAAACTGCAAAAAAATAATTCTCTCCTCTTTTCTCGAAATTCTAAATTTTATAAATGACACAGTTTGAATGATGATAAATACTTCATTATCATTATCTTTTAAGTATCTCCATAAAATGTCGGAAATTCATCACTCTCGTGGTTTTGAAAGTGTAAAAAGTTTCTTCAAGTGTTGAAGCGAAATTGCCAAGAAGATAGATTAATCTTTATTAAATGCACACCTTTACATATATATATGCGCTTCAAGAAATAAAAAGAACTTCCGTTTCAAATAAAATGACAAATTATATATAAATTTAATTCTACGTAATTGTGCGTACATTTTTTGTAAAAAAAAAAAACAAAATTAGGGCAGTTTATAAACTTTCTATTCGTTAGTACAGTTTTAATTAAAACACACTTTAATATGTTTATTTTTCATCTGAATATCATGTAATTTTATTACTTATTTTTTAAAACAAAAAAGTTACCAATAATTAAATAAAAAAAAATATAAACAAATAAAATAAAAACCAAAAATTTAAATAAAGGAAAAAACATTTCAAAATTTTGAACAGTAGTTTAATTTTCTCTTTTTCCATATTGAATTTTCATTTTTTTTTTTCATGCAAATAATTAACAGAGAAAGGTGTCAGTAGTAGAAGGCCACGTTGTTAACGGGATAGTGTTAAATTTTTCCTTTTTTGAAACAATAAATTCAATTCTCAGAACGAAAGAAATTATTATTAAAGTTCGTGATGAATTATCTTTTTTTTTTGTTGGAAAAATGCGCGCACGATTACAGTTGTTGGCAAGAAGAAGGGAATTAACGGTGTATAGAATGTGAATGAAAAAAAGGGTAGAGATTATTTTATAATTAAATACTAAAATGGAATTGAAAATAAATACTGTCTTTAAAACAGATTACGCCAATTAAATTATTAATAACAAAGATGATAATTATATATTTATAAATGTACAATACATTTTATATAGATATATTATTATTACTCTCTTAATTTGAAATAAGAATTTTTTAAATTCAGAATACATAAAAATTTGTATAGAATTATCTCAAAAATGATATAAACAATTTATTATATAAAAAAGGATTTGTTAAAAAAATTTTCTAACCTTAAAATCGTTGTCCTATTACCGAACGCGAACTCCATCATGAAACTGCTTTCATTTGTTGATGATGATGATGATGATATCTGCTGATGATGATTTCCAAAATCACTCCCGAAAAAAGATAGCATACTATTATGAAATTTTTTAATCGATCGCGGTTTTAAAAAAATTCGAACACTCCCGGAAAAATAGTATACTATCTAGAACTAAAACTATTTTTGAAATCGCGATTTTAAACTAATTCGAAAACTTCCGAAAAAATTTACTATTAAAGACTAAAACTATTTTTTAAAACGATCACGGTTTTAAAATAATTCGAACACTCCCGAAAAATGATATATAGTATACTATTTAGAACTGAAACTATTTTTTAATCGATCGCGGTTTTAGAATAATTCGAACACTCCCGGAAAAAAATAGTATACTATCAAGGACTAAAAAGTATTTTTTAAATAAACGCAGTTTTAAACTAAACTAATTCGAACGCGAAAAAAGAAATTTTAAAAAAAATGCGAATCACACCTGAACTTCAATTTTAATACACAAATTGCGAGTTTATAATTTTCACACCACTAATTATTATTGTCCATGTTTACGTTTATGGGGTGACCATCTATTGTTCCGTTGAATCTAAACATACTTGGGATGCAGGTATACACAGATTTTATTCCAAGAAAAATCAATTAGATAAATTCAAAATGCACTTTTTTCAGGTATTTTAGAATTAATTTAAAATTCTTTTTATATTCTTTGATTTCTTAAAATGAATAAAAATTTTGCTATCAAGATGTGAAATATTAAAAAAATTTCATATGTGAATTCAAATCTATTGTAATTTTCTCAAAATTTCTCAATAATTTGAAATAACAATTTTTAATTAATTAACACTCTCTAAATGAAAAAATAAAACTTGAATAGTAAACAAAACATTTGCATGTATGCATAGGCACTGTCTAGTTTTTCGCCAGTTTAAAAGAAATTTAGAGGTTAGGAATTTACACTTACATGAAATTAATAATTATAAGAAAAAAAAGAATAGAAAAGTTTTGCAAATGATAATTGTTGAACATCACCAACAATAGAATGATTTTAGTAATTTGAATAAATTAATGACTTCTAAAAATTAAACAAATGACACTTAGAAAACTATTCGACAAAGCTGAAGTCAGACGCTGAACACCTATTACCAAAAGTGAACACTTGGAGCGCTAACTTCGAATCACGTGACTGTTACGTCATTTAAAAAATTTCTGCTAATTTTTGTTTACATAGTTTATTTTTGCCTAATTGTACTTAGTAAAAGCAAAATCTACTAATTTGTTAGTAAAATATAAAAGTGCTAATATGGAAAAAGTATAAAAATTCTACAAATTCAGTAGATTTTGAAAGTGGACTATATTAATACAGTAACAATATTAATTAATTTAGTTGTCATTTTTATTATTACTCTTTGTTAATTTAATTATTACTCTTTATTAATTTAATTATTACTCTTTATTAATTTAATTACTAAATTATTCATTATATTAAAAAATTGAATTATAATTTTTTTCATGATTACCAAAATTAAAAAATATAGTTTAAAATTTTTTTTTTCGTATAAACTATGAATTTGTGATTATTTTGCTACGTTTTATTAATGAAAATAAAAGAGAAAATATTTATATACTTTGCTGATTAATAAATTACCTTTCAGTTGTGCGCCTGTGGAATTTTAGGCGCCGGCCTTTGGCTTCGATTGGCTTATTCCGGATACACGACTCTTGTACCACAATACAGTTTTGCATCAGCTGATTCATTTCTTCTTGCTGCCGGCTGTCTCACCTTCATTGTGGCTTTCTTTGGATGCTGTGGCGCCTGGTTTCAATCAAGATGCATGTTAATCACAGTGAGTTGTTCCCCTTTTTATCTAATTAGCTATTTAGAAAAATCCATTATGTCAGGAAAAATAATTTTAAAAAAATTACACATAAAAAAAATATATTTATATTAAAATAAAAAATAATATAAAATATTTATAAATATAAATAAATTAATTATTATTAATTATTATTAACAATCGTATTTTTATTTTAAAAATTAAAAAAATATTGGATAATCCATTTTTCTTTCTACAATGTAATTTTATTATTTACTGAATTTATTTTTGATTTACAAATAAAAAAATATAACTTACCACTGCTTCAGTATTTCAGTTTGGTAATTCTTGTCTTTTTGGCTGAATTTATGCTGGGAACACTTGCATTCATATTTAAGGATTACGTGACTAATAGTTTGCGAGAGGAATTATTGTTTGGTATCGAAAAGCATTACAACATCACAAGAGAACCTGGTACTTTGCCTGCCGTTTGGGATCATATTCATTCAGAGGTATAAAAAGCCCTTCTATTGAAAGCAAAATATATTCACCAATACAAATGCTAATCAAAATAATATAATTAAATAAATAAATAAATAAGAAGGAAATTAATAAAAAGGATACATGATTAATAATTGAAAAATTTTTTTAGTTTCATTGTTGTGGAGTTCGTGACTATACAGATTGGTATCAGATTAGTGCATGGCCAGCAGAAGATCGTGTTCCTGATTCCTGTTGCATCCATCGTGAGAGATATTGTGGTCGTCTCGATCCTGAAGGAAGGAATAAAGAATTATGGTATAAAGACGGTTGCTCATCGGCTATTCAAATGTGGCTTGTTACCAGATTACATGTCGTTGGTACCGTTGGTTTACTTGTTGGTTTTCTTCAACTTTTTGGCCTCTTAACAAGCATGATTCTTTTTTGCACTGTCAAACAAAAACGTTCATCTCACACCTACAAAAGTTATGACACCACTATCACTTAATTAATTTTGCAAAAAAAAAAATTACTATTATCAAATCAAGAATTAAAAAATCAGAAATTTCTTTTTAAAAGTTTATTTAATTTAAAATTTTTCTGCTAATTTTTCGTAATGAATTTTATAATTTTTATTTACAAAATTGACATTCCTTTGAAACAATTTTAATTATTACGTTATTATTAATTCTTGCATTAATTATTACAAAAATTAGATACAATTTTTAATTATTAATTGTTTTATTACCAAAAAAATTATCACAAGAATGTGAAATTTTTCAAATAAATTATATTTGTCGCTACTTGGAAATTTACAAATTCTTTTTTTTTTTTTGTTTTGACGTCAAGGAAAGTATTACGGGTCAGAAAAATTATAAACTACTCTGTTGGCGGTGTTTTGTGGTTTTGCTTCACGAAACCGCAAATGAGAATAAGAAAATCAGACAAGAAAATACATAAAAAAAATTACGCGTCTTTTTCTAAAAATAAAGTGTCCTTCAATGTGAAGCATTAATTTTTAGTTTACAATATTTTTTTTTCACAAAAAACCTTCATTCTCTTTCGTGAAAATAATTTGATTTTTTTTAATTAACTTGAAAGAGAATATGTGTCATGATAAAAATTTCAAAATTCTATTTTTATGTTTAGAATTCTAAAATGACGGAACAAAAAAAAATAACAGAAAAAAATCAATTCGAAAACTAATTTAATATTATCTGCACAAAAAAAGAATGAAAAACAATTTTTTGAAATGAAAACTAAGAAAAGCTTTTTTACTTGTTTTTAGATATTTTTTATGTTAAAGGAAAGAAACTATATAATTGTAATGATATAAATATATAATATTATATAATATTATTCAATATATTATTGTAATACTATAATTTAATCGTATATTATTATATATTATATAATAAATATTATATATTATATATTGTTATATTATATTTTATATGATTATAATAAGACGGTTCGTGTGCAGATATAACCAAGAATATCACATATTTTGAAAAAAAACACGAACTTTCATCATTTACTCAATATTTTTAGTCCCTTTTTAAATTTTATTATATTATCGAAAACACTAGTTTAAAAAAGGTAATTTTAAACTCATATAATCGTTTATAATATATTAAAAATACTGATATAATATATATTTATATCGTATAATACCAAATGTGTCATCGACATTACAATTTAATCAAATCATTATATAAAGTTCACATTGTATTCTTTTCTATATGTCATATATATAGTCACAATCATATTTATATCATATACGCTCTAATTATTCATTTACGTAATTATATATTACTATCAATTTTTTTTTGTACTCGAAATATTGTTTTGGATGCAGATATTTTAATGGTACGATAAAACATAAGATATAAGATATTTTTTTTTTAGTAAATATATTGCTTTTTATAATATTCATTTCTTAGGCAAGGTATTAATGATCCAAAGAAAAAAAAAACCTAGCTGTAAATTAAATTTAAGACTATATTTTTAGTGGAAAATTAATTATCCAGAAAACTGCATTTAGCGCATTGTAATCATAGTTTAGATTTTTTTTTTCATATTGAAGATTTCTGGAAAGAATCAATAGTATCAAAAATATGATGAAAAGTTTTGTTGGATAATTCCACGACTAGCCATGAAGTGTTCTAGTAAAGAATATAATCTTCAATATGATATTGTTTTTTTTAAATATTTCTTTTTTCTTACATCTAAGTTAATTTTTTAGACGCGTAATCCTAGTTTTTACATTTTTATTACTATTTCTTTGTAGTTTTAATGAAGCACACACTGCAGGACGTAGGAAATATTTGTCTACGTAATTTTAACGAGAGATATTATATTTATTTCGATAGACACTGTATGTACATTTTAAACACTTATATATATAATATGAAAATTTACAAAATAAATCATAGAATTATAAAATTGGAAATTGAATTTTTTTTTTTATTGAAGCCCCACTAATCGTGATCCCAATTGATTGAGAGCTTCTGTGATACTTCGAGAAGTGTTTTTTGCTGCTTTTACTGGAAACTGAAAATATTTTTTTAGTAAAAAAAATTAATTAAAAAATACAAAAAAAATAATATTTTTTTTACATACATCAACAGCTGCATTTAGAAAATTACTAATTCCCTCGAAACCATTAACAAGGGCACGTCCAACTCCAGCGAATTTATCACCGGAATTTCCATATTTTTGATCCTCGCTAATTCCATCGACCAATGGTGTTGGATGGAAAAATTTTTCCAAAATTCCTTCAACTGGATTTGATTTTGGTTTTTCAAATAGAGCCTGATCGCTCTCTTTTTCGAGTCGTGCTGTCTCCCTTGTTCGTGGTGGTAAAAATTGTGCAAACGGTACTTTTTCATATGAAGCCAATTTTTTTTCCCCTTGATTAAAATCACTTTTTGGCTGAATTACCATTGTCACTGTATTTTGCGATTCACTAGCAACATCCTATCAAAAATGGACAAAACAAAAAATAATTATTTTGCAAAATTTGAATTTCATTTTTGAAAGAAAATTTTTGACAAAAAAAAAATTGGTTTCATTTCAAAAAATTGAAAAATAATAAAAATTGTAAAATTTCTCTATATAGAAATTATTATTGAGACGAAATGGAATTTCCATACATGATGTGCAAATAATTTCACAATTATTCATCTTTATGCACGATGAGATCAAACACTTTCAGTCATGTCGGAATTCATTAATTATTTATAAATGTAATACCAAAGTAAAAATTGTAAATAATATAATATCAAAGTAAAAACAAAGAAACTACGTATTAGATTACTTTTTGCCTTGGAATTTTTATTTCCAAGGCACTATAAAATATTTGCAATATCCGAACTCTCTTTTTTTTGTGCATATATTAATTCCTTTCTGCAAAGATCAAGTTTCGTCATTTTATAGGCATTGTAAAGGCATGACAACAAAAAAAAGGCAGTAAAATCATTATTTTTATATAATTATGTCTTTCTGGAAATATTTCAGAAATCATAAATATTATATTTTGTAATTATTAACATATATTAATTTTTAATAAAAGTGAAAAAAAATCTACTTTTTAAGAATATATGAGGAGAGAGAAAGAGAAAAAAAATGTTTGACCAAATTGAAATTTACCAAATTGGTGAAATACATCATGGTGAAATTGGAATTTTCTTTATAAAAAAAAATTACCTCATTTTCGTCGATAATGTTGTTCGCGGCCAATTTATCCGAATTTAATCTTCTATTGCCGAATCTCATGACATCTGCTATTCGATCTAACCAATCCTATAAAAACCGAAAAACAATAGTTTTGTTCCTCTGAGTCGTTGTAAAAAAAATTTTGAAATTTAAACAAAATTCATCATATTTTCCATTCGAAATAATATAAAAAATAAAAATAAAATAATAATTAATTTTTAATATAAAAATTTTCAACGATATGAAAGAATGAGAAAATTAATTTTTTTACTATTTTTCGTCACAGATCAAAAAATAAAGTATGATGAATTTTGTTTTCTTTTTTTTCGATCAAATTCGACTCAGATCAAATTTTGATTCATTTTTGTAAACTATTCTATTATGCAATATTTATGTGTAATGAATTTTGAAAAATTGTATGAATTTTTTTTTGAGTGTACCTCTCCTCGATCCTGCATGATGTTTTTGATTAATGTCACTGAATTGACAAATCTCCCTCTGCCAAATCTAATTTTATCCGCTAAACTGCCTAACAACTCCTATAAAATCGAAAACAATTTTTTTTTTCGTTCGTTTTTGTTAAAAAATCTGAAAATTCTAAAATAATTTCGAAAATTCGTTATAAATATACCTGAAAATGTTTTATTATATTCGAAAAAATTATCAATTTGAAAATTCATCAATTTTGAATTTTTTTTTTTTGAAAGTCTCAAATATAGGAAAAAAAAAGCTGAAACTAAAAAAAAATTTGTGTATTTAATTTCGAAACTAAAAAAAAATTACCATCGTCTGTTGCAACATTGTTGGTCCATTTTTATCAGCCTTATCAGTTTCTTCGTCAATTTTCAATGAACTATTCAAACTGAATTTTGTTGGTTGTTCCGTTGGTCGACAAATGACACTTTGAAGATACAAGGCCAGGCACAAAATTTCACGAAAACTCAACATTTTTTTTTTTTTTTTTTTGTTTTAAATCATTCGATTCAATATCCAAGTGAATTTTCTTCTACACTGAAAGCAATAAATATAAATTAGCAACAATACAAAAATTCTAGTCGATAAAAAAATTTACCTAATAAAATAATAGAAAAAAAGTTATATTTTATTTTGTTATTAAAAAAATAAAAAAAAAAGAGTAATATAGAAAAATAATCATTTATAAGTATAATTATTCACAGCAATAAGACCTTGAAAGATGGATAGAATAAATTGCTATTAAATTTGTCCTTAAAATATTCTTCGATTTAATCATCACTTTGAATTTATAGAAAGTTTGGCTTTCAATTTATTTTTTATTCAAGAGAAATTAAATATTATCAATAATAATAAATGATAATAAAAATAATAATAAATAATTACAACTAATAATAAATAAATACAAATAATAAAAAATAAATACAACTAATAAAAAATAAATAAAACTTATAACAAATAAATAAAACTTTACAAAATAATTAAAAACGTATTTAAATGGAAATTAAAAAAGTAAATTATTTAAAAATTTTAATATAGAATTTAATATTAAAAGATTGTAATTTAAATTAAATTTGAACATATTAACGTTCTGTTAAAGAAATAAATAAAAGAAAATACTTACAGATTTCTGATAGTTGAATATGATCATTTAAATGTTTACTCGTCTACTAATAATCACTGAACCATTAAATTTCTATCATCAATTTAAACATTTTTTTTTTAAATTAACTAAATGAAAAAAATATTTTATCACACATTTAAAAGAACGTCAAACTATTCATCGATATGGTTACTCGAAGACTAACTTTACTCCGCGTGTTAACGACCACAACTGAAATCTTACGAAACGCAGCTTTCTCTTTCGAGCTCCTCAAGTTTAACATGATTTTGCAATAATTAATATTTTTTTTGCATTTTGGAAAGTGTTTTTTTTGTTGTTATTGAAATTTTCGAAAATTGGCCCATAATTGGTTAATCAACTTTTCTTCCAATAAAATATAATTTTTGTATATTTTTAAAAAATATTAATTAATATGAGAAAATTTGAAAAAAAATTTATGAACTAGAGTAAAATAATATTTGTAAGCAAATTTTACAGAAAACCTTTATTAAAAATATGTCAGCTATAATATTCATAAATATCGTGCAAAATTTATGTGATTAATAAACACAAGCCTTTAACAATAGTAATCTTCAACATTTCACTAAATACTGCTTTCTACCACTGAATATTGTAAAAAAAAATTACTTGCCCTTCACTGACTAATTTAATATACAAATCAAAATTAATATTAAAAAATATTTCAAGTGATCAACATTCTTTTTTTTTAAATATACATTAATTATTAATAACAATTCGTCAATTTTTCGTAAATTTCATATTATATACAAATCGTCACAATTATTATATAGAACGAAATATTGTATATTTAATATAAAATGTTTATTATATAGGAATTAAATATTTATTTTTTGAAAAATTACTATTTGGTAAATATTAGAAAAAATTTTGCTAAACAAAAAAGGAAAGAAAGAAATATTTCGATGAAAATAACAACAAAGAATTTTCTGCTCCGCATATAAAAAATTTCATGAGATCATTTAAAATGAATAACAAATCGCTCGAATATATATTATATGTACAGAATTTTTAATAAGAAAACAAGACGACAACGTGGAAACATTTTTTTTTGTGACCTTGTTTGTGTCGGAGTATTTTTACATGCGGAGGTGTAAACGGAATACAAAATATATAAAAATTACAATGTGTAAAAAAACGTGCGATTACTTTCAAATTCATTTTTAGAGTTTCATTTTGAAATACACATCTGCGGGAATTTTATATATTGGCATCAACCAATTTTATTTTTTAATAATTGATTCACTGCATTCAATGTTGAAATTGGTATCTGAAAAATTACAATGACAGAAATTGTTAAATAATTTTTATTATTTTTTTTTAAACATAGATTAATGAAAATCAAATTTAATTCTAATAATAAAATTAATAATTAATTAATTCGTTAATAAATATTAATTAATAAAATAAATTGACTGAAATTGGTATTTTAAAATAAATTTATTTTTTTACCTTTTTTCTAAATCCATTTTGTTTTATTTATATAAATATTAATTAACTTACATTGAAAATATCATCAAATAAGGTACTGGCTTTTTGACCATCGTTATGTGAATAAGACACCTCAGGACCTGCACGAGTAAAAATTCCAGGTGAACTTGGGGCCACTACGTGATCACCATCGGGTATTAAAACAGTGTTATAAAGAACATTTTTTCTCGCACCTGTTCTGAATCGTTTTCTGTACCAACGTGCTGGATAAATCCCACGATTACGAGATTCCAAATTACTGTCTGTAATTATTAGATCGAGAGAAAAAAAAATGTTGAGAAAGAAAATCATTTTTTTTACGAAATACACAAAAATACATAATTAAATTTTTCAAAAATAATAAAATTATTTTTTTAAATAAAATTATTTTTTTAAATAAAATAATAAATAAATAAATAATAAAATTATTTTTTCAAAAAATAATAAAGAAAATTAAATTAATTAATATACCAATTGTATCTGTTGATGTTGCAAATTCAATTGGTTCCGATTTATCCAATGTTTTTATCTTGAGAACAGATATTCCAATTCCCGTATCTTTATCTTCATCATCCTGCAAATTATAAGTATATTTTAGTTTTTTTAAATTTATTTTTAAGTAAAGTAAAATTTACAATACAGTAAAGTGGAAAATACAATATAGTATAGTAACCAATACGATACAGAATATAGTAAAATATATAGTACAGTATAGTAAAATATACAGTACTGTAAAATATAAAATATAAAATATAAAATATAAAATATAAAATATAAAATATAAAATATAAAATATAAAATATAAAATATAAAATATAAAATATAAAATATAAAATATAAAATATAAAATATTAAATATAAAATATAAAATATAAAATATAAAATATAAAATGTAAAATATACAATAAAGTATAGTAACTAATACGATACAGAATATAATAAAATATTCAAAATAGTAAAGTAAAATCTACAATATTGTAAATAAGAATAAAATAAAACGCATAAAATAAAATATTAAAGAAAAACTATCGATAGACGGCATCGTGTAATTATTTGAAGAGTAATGACTTGTAAAATTCACTGTAATTAAAATTATCTTCTTTAATAAAGAAAAAAAGTTAATGTACATTCTTTTTATATTCACAAGGAAGTAATAATAACAATTAATTTCTACGTTCAACATCATTAAAATGTCATTGTCGACAAAATGTATATTTCTCTAACGAGAAACTTATTTTTTATTTCAATTAATTTTTTTACTATTTTTTTTTGCCAATAAAAAAAGAAATTTCGTAATTTAAAACTAAATTATTATAATTCCTTTTTTTTTTTTGTTGAATAGAAAAAATTTATTAGACAAAAAAAAGTGACAATACTTTGAATAATAATTACCTTTTCTTCTTTTAGTGACGTCACTGTAGCTGCATCAGATGATGTTGCAGATGCACCTGAATCAACATTGGCTGTGATGTCCTTAGAAGATGATGATGATGCTGACGATGCTACCTGATTTATTTAAATAATCCTTTTTTTACTTACTTATACGTATAATCGCGAGTTTCTGTAATTAAATAATATTCGTTTCACGAGTAATTTTTGATTCTATATAGAAATATAGTTTTTAATTTAAATTGACGCGATTTAAAGTTTTATTATTTTAATAATTTAAAAAATTTTTTTTAAATAAATAAAATAAATAATTATAAATATTTTTATATAATTTTTAATTACATATGAAACTCACCTCTTTACTCTTCGATGCTCGGGGAATGACTTGAATATTTTTTCGTTCATTTTCATTTTTTTCACCCTTTTTCCATGTTGAATCAGCAAACAAAGATCCTTCTCCATATTTTTTTTTCGTTCCATCGAGAACTCCGCCAAGTCCGGCTTTTGCTTCTGGACCACCGTTACCCAATCCTGCTCGGGCATGTAAACCACCACCTGAAAAAAAATTAATTTTAATTAAAAATATTGTAAAATATTAATTTTTTCTCAAATTCTTGATTTTCAAAAATAAAAAAATTTTCTATAAAATAAAAATAAAAAAGTTGAAAATTAAAGAAATTCTTTGAAAAAGTATTTTTACTACAAATTTAAAATAATTTTTTAATTACAAATATTGTGAAATATTAATTTTTCTAAAATTCTTGATTTTTAAAAATAAAAAATTTTTTATTTCAAATAAATAAAAATAGAAAAAAGATAATTAAGAAATTCATTAAAAAAAGGATTTTTATTGCTAAAATAATTTTTTAATTACAAATTTTTGTTACTATTACATTGGTCGAGATATTAGTATATATATATTTTTTTTTGACCTTACGAGTGATTGACAATGATTAAAATAACAAGAATATAAATACGTGACTCCGCGGGCTTTGACTCTCGTTTGTCTGACCAAAATGGAATTCTCTACTTATACGCCAATATAAACCAAGGGAGAAAAATTCTTTATCATTTTCCATCTCTCTTCAACTGTCAATATAATTATTTCCCCTTATAACAAAATTTATAGGGTCACGTATAATAAACATTAATTAGTATTTTAAATAAAAATAATTTTCGTATATTGCAAAATTTTCTCCAATTTAAAAGCAATAAGAGAAACACAAAGGATTAGCAAATCTTGCACGAAGGTCACTTCACATAAATCACAATTTTTTTCTTTAGATATATTATCTTCTAATGATCAAACGCTACGTTAAAAACAGATTTAATAATTTTCTTTTCATTTTTCATTGATTATAAAAAAAAATATATATATGACTTTCTCTCATCATATATTTATGGGAAAGTCAACAAATTATGATTTATATATCAATATGAATTATGATGATGAGATTTTTTTTTTATTTAGAAATTATTTATTTATATTTTTTTAATGAAATTTATATACCAGCACTTCCGTTGTCACCGAGAAGTCCACCTAATCCTGCGGAAGCATGTGAACCATCAGGTGTTCCGGCACTCACGTGAAGTCCACCTCCTGCTCTTCCGCCACCTAAAAGTCCTCCGAGTCCAGCTTCCGCGTGATAGCCACCAAAATTCAATCTTACGGCGCCATTTTTAAATTCCAAAAACGGTGGCTAAAAAAAAAATTTTTAAAAATATAAAAAAATATTACCTCAAAAATGATTCATGAAAAAATATATATGGTAATAAAAAAATGTATATGTAAAATTCTATTTTTTAAAATTAGGGAAAAATTATTTATAACTTGTAATTAATTATTATTTTATTATTTATTATTAGCGTATTTTTACAGGAAAAAAAAGTAAGTGGTACTGTATTCTATTTCTGGTTTTTTTAATCATTATTATCACTATTTGATTATTTAACTACTTTATAGTTAATAATTTACAATTGTATTATTTATTATTATTTCATTATTATTTCATTATTATTTTATTATTATTTTATTGTTATTTTATTATTATAATATTATTATTTTATTGTTATTTTATTATTATTGTATTATTATTTTATTATCATATTATTTTTTTTCTCTTATACCTAATTTAGTTTAGTACTTTTAGTACGAAAGAGACTTTTTTATTTTTGTAAACCCGTTTAGTTGTTAAATAAATAAATATAAATAAATTTATAAATTTATAATTTATAATTGTAAAATAATTATTTATAAATTATAATTTTAACTATTAAATTATCAATTATTTATCTAATAAATTATCAAATATTTAAAACGTAATTGTTAATTAATTATTTTAATAAACATTATATTTGTCAATAGTAATTTTCTACTTTAGTGGAAATTTTTTAGCATCATCGAACTTTAATGATAGAAATTAAACATAATTTACCAAGATTATAAAGTATTTTATTTACTCATCGTTAACAATGACTTTAAATTTGATAACTCATTTTCTGAATTAATTTGATTTTCTAACTATGTATTATTTTTTTAATTACTTTATAGATAATTAGTAATTATTTGTGACTAACATTATGCAATATAAATTAATACTTGCATCCTTGTATTATGAAATATAAAATAAAAAATATATTTTATTATAATTATAAATAAATATGATAAAAAAAAATATTTTTTTATAAATACAACAACAAAATAAATAAACATAATAATAAACAAATCTAATAAAAAATTTATTTTTTTTATAAATAATTTTTTTTATAAATATTATGATAAATAAATCTAAATTTTTTAGAATAAAAATATTTTAAGGACTTAAAGTCCTTGAAACTGTCTAAAGTCCAGAAAAACCAGAATATTTTCCTGTTTCTATAAATTTTTTTTTAATACATAATTTAACATAATTATGCGATTTAGATGATTCTAAAATGTCAGTTTTTTTTTATCGAAAAATGGCATCTAGAAATTTACATTAATTCGTTTACTTTTTTGATTTTAATATTTTTTTCTTTTCAATTTACCAATCTAATTGATAAATTAATTATTAATTATTAATTATTAATTATTAATTATTAATTATTAATTATTAATTATTAATTATTAATTATTAATTATTAATTATTAATTATTAATTATTAATTATTAATTATTAATTATTAATTATTAATTATTAATTATTAATTATTAATTATTAATTATTAATTATTAATTATTAATTATTAATTATTAATTATTAATTATTAATTATTAATTATTAATTATTAATTATTAATTATTAATTATTAATTATTAATTATTAATTATTAATTATTAATTATTAATTATTAATTGACTAATCCTATTTCGAAAATTAGTTGCGTGTAAAAAATTAACATGATAAATGCCAAGTGTGACGAATTTGTCTAATGCATTCACCTACTTAGTCAAATATTACATATTCAAGTAGGGAAGATAAATTATAGTCAGCCATAAATAGAGCAGAAATTCTAAACAAAAGCAAATTTGCATTAAATATACTCTACTTTTGTCTTTAGCTTAAAAAAAAATATATACCCGTGTGGAAAAAGCCACGATCTTGCCCTCAAGAGTTCGGGGCCCCCGGCGGGGGCCCATGAGGGCTGATCCATATGGCGAATCCATGAGGGGCACCGTAGGGGCCCCGCATGGATCGCCCTCATGATCGATTAGCAAAATTTTCTAAGTCCAAAAATCAAATATTTTTTTATCACCAAAAAATTAATGTTTATAATGATTCAGAACAACGAAAAACGCGTTTTTAATAAAAATATATTTACACTTTTTTGAAAATAACACTCACACTTATGGCAAAATAGATGAGGGCCATCGTAGGGGCCCGCATGGATCGCCCTCATGATCGATTAGCCAAATTTTCTAAGTCCAAAATTCAAATATTTTTTCGTCAACAAAAAATGAATGTTTCCAATGATTCAGAACAACGAAAAACGCGTTTTTAATAAAAATATATTGACACTTTTTTGAAAATAACACTCACACTTATGGCAAAATAGATGAGGGCCACCGTAGGGGCCCCGCATGGATCGCCCTCATGATCGATTAGCAAAATTTTCTAAGTCCAAAAATCAAATATTTTTTTATCAACAAAAAATGAATGTTTCCAATGATTCAAAACAACGAAAAACGCGTTTTTAATAAAAATATATTTACACTTTTTTGAAAATTCACCTGAGATGATTCATGATAATAATCATAAAGCATATAATTAATTATATTTTATAAATTGCATTTGATTGGAAAATATAATTTAATATCTTAACTTTAACTAAATGATGTTAAGCACTTTTCTTTGTTAGGTATTTTTGAAGTTTAAATAGCATCAAGAAGTTAGCATTCGTTTTGAAGTAGCGTGCGTAGCGTAGTTGGTAAAGCGTTAGACTCATAGTCCGTAGGTCGTAGGTTCGATTCCCCCCATGCGTTAGATTTATTTATTTCTCAGGTTTGCGTTTAATCATTAATTCTATGTATGAATTAATTGAAAAATGAAAATATCCGTTACTTAATAGTATGCATAAATTACATATTTTTTAATTTTTTAATTAATTAATTTATTATTACTTTTAATTATATCCGACAGTTAATTAATTAGAACGTTAATTAATAAATTCAATTTGAGTAAGAATTTAATTTAAAATTGAATAATTATTAAATAAATATGTTATTTATTCATAACTTAAGCTTATTTATTATTAATTAACTTTTATTATTAATATTATTGATTAAAAAACATTATGGCAAACTTGAGGGCAAGATGAGGGCAAACGTGAGGGCCCATAAGGGCGCCCGTAGGGGCACCCTCATGGATCGCCCATGCGGGCGCCCTCATCGATGAGCATGTCGTTTCCATGAGGGGCCCCTATGGATCATCCATATGCGGCCCTCATGGCATGAGGGCGATCCATAAGGGCCCCCGCTGGGGGCCCACATCACTTTTCCACACGGGTAGATATAATTAAAATAATAATGAAAAAACTAATTTAAAAATTAATTTTAAAAATCAGATAAAAATTCAACGTGACAATATATAATTAGAAAACAATGTCGTGAATAAACGACAACACAAATATAAACCTCGAAAGAAAGCATTTAAATTTATTATAATTTTCAACGTTTACAAATTATAATTTTTGTATATTATTAAAAACAAAAAATTTAATTTTCAATATAAATAATTCATTTTCTTTTTTTGTTTTAAATTAGCAAATTATTTGCAAGCCACACTGAAAGTGATAAACAAGAATGTAAATTAAAAAAAAAAGAATTAAGACAATTGAACGTGAAAGTATATTTGAAAAGTCAATATACATTTTTAGTGTGTATATGTACAGAGTACACACTACTTCCGTAAGACCTTTCTCTCTTACGTTTTCACGTCAATACGTCATATTACAGCAATCCTGACTAATTACGTAGTTTCCCTTCCCTCCTTCTTTTTAAACAGAGACAGATCTCCTTTTTCATTTCTCAATTTTTCGATGAAAAAAAAAAAAAAATTACAAAAAAAATCCCTTAATGCAATGAAACTGCAAAAGATGTCTGCGGCAATATATCAGGAATATTACACAATTTTTTTTAGAGTAAAAATGCTCACAAAATCTTGTGCAACAAAATTGCACAGAAATGATCCAGAATTCAATCAATTCAAGGATTTATACTTTCTATTCCCATCAATGTTTATAATATATATTTATAAATCTGTGTGTATATGCAATTAAGCTTTCAATTTCTTAATAAACAATTTTTGTTTTCCTCTTATTTTGCAATTTATGAACTTCGCAATCCATTAGATTGTTATCCTTGAAAAAAAAAGAAATTCAATTCAATGGAGAAATGTGAACTTGAAAATTTCAGGTGACATTTGGTACAAAATAAGCTGATTTAAAATTTTTTTTATTCTATTATTTTAATTATTTATTAATATATAGAAATTAATTTAAAAATAAATTAATTTAAAAATAAATTAAATTTAAATAAATTTATTTTCATTTGCTATTAATATTTTTATTTCTTTTTCTTTATTAGAAAATAATTAAAAATAATATTATTATTAATAATTAACAATTCACAAAATATTATTGTTTATTTAATTTATTAATTAATTCGTTATTAATTTATTTATTTTATATTATTTTATTATTATTTTATAATGATATAATTATTATTATTAAATCGAAAAATTAATTTCAATGTCATTTCTAAATTTTAAAACTAGTTTTTACTGTAGGTAATTATAACAAATATTAGTATAATAAATTATTATTAATGTAATTATAAAATAAAATATATATAACAATATAAATTATATGAATATAATATTTGGCAAATAATATAAATTTATTATAGTTTTACATTGTAATTAAATATATAAATTAATTAACTAAATATATAATAAATAATATGAATATAATATTAAATATTTTATTGTATTCCATTGTAATTAAATAAATAAATTAATTAAATATTCACCAAATAATATAAATATAATATTTAACAATAAATAATAATGAAAAATAAATTTAATATAAAATTAATTAATTGTATTATTAATTATTATTATTTATTAATTATAATTAATAACATTAAATATAAAAAAATTTAAACAAATAATATTTAACAAATAAATTTCTAATTAAAATAAAAATTGTTTACTTTTCAATTATCCCTCGTCTCTCTCTCTCTCTCTCGAGATATTTGTCGTGCTTGGCATTTCTTTTCTTTTTTTGTTTTCTTTTTAAAATGGGAAAATAATATTGAGAAAAAATTTCACACTCACACCACCTGAGGATTCCTGAGATGTTTTGTCAGCGTTTGTGATTTTTTGCGGAAAACCTGATGAAAGGGTTGTTAATACCGCAACAAGCAGCACAAGCGTCACTTGCACTTCACTCGACATTCTCGCGATTACTAACAAACAGGTAGTAGTGTATAGTAGCGAGAGTTCTCGATGTTGGGGAATTTCTAAAAAGGCCTCTCTCGGACAATTTGCTTCCCGCGCGCAGAAAACAGAAAGAGAGAGAGAGAGAGAGAAGGTGAGTCTCAACATCTTTGTCAAACTCCAAGAGAGAAAAAAAAAATGCTTTTGTGTTTCGTAAATAAAAAAAAAAAAAATCTTCGAACACCATTCACTTGAGTCAAGGTTTTGAATATCATTGTTTTTGTAAATGCAAAAAAAAAAAAATTCGATTGTCTCTCTATATCATATCGTAAATATCCGAATTGAACAATATTTTTTCTTATCTTACACAATTTTTATTTCATCAATTCATGTTCAATGATCGTTATTCAATGTTTCAAGTGCTTTTTTTTACTTATTATTTATTTCATGATTTATTATTCTTTAGTCTCCATTAATTAAATTTTTTTTTTTTTGTGAAGTAAATTTATTTATTTCATTAAATTTATTCCCCTGTTTCTACTTATATTTATGCTTCTTTTTTGTCTTATTTATTTACTTTACAGGAAATATTCCACTAAATATTTATTTTTTATTTTTTTAATTATTAATTTTTTTAATTTTTTTTTTTTTATAAGTCGTATCTAAAATTTAAGTAAAATTAAAATAGAAAAATAGAATGGAATAGAAAAATTAGAAAAATGTTAATTATAAAAAAAATAGATTTTTTCAATAGGATAATAAAAAATATAAAAATTCTTTAAAAAAAAAACATTTTATTATTATTTTCATTACCTTCTTTTTATTAATATTTTATTGTTATTTATATGCCATTAAATGGTGTGAAATAAAAGAAAAAAAAACAACATTTCGCCAAGTTATGCGGAAAAAAAATCAAAGACTGTGCGAAGAGAATGTTGTAATTGAAAATAAATTAACATTTAGGTCTCGCGCGTAATAAAAAAAATAGGGAAAAATTTAAAATAGAAAAAATTAAAATTTATTGATATTTTACTCCTTATTTTAAACACTTATATTCCCTAGTTTACATTTATAGGTTTTTTACAATATATATATGCAAATAATCTACTTAAAGTTCAACTTGTAAACTTCTTAAACTTGCTAATATTGACATTACTTTACTATTTTCTGTTTCTATTTTTTTATTTTTAACGTATTACAATTTTTTTTTTATTTTCTTATACTATTAACTATTACTACTATTATTAACTAATATTAAATATTATTTTCATTTTTCATATTATTATTATTATTATTATTGATTTTTATTATTATTATTAATATTAAATATTATTAGCTATTTTTAACTAACAACAAAATACTATTTTTTTAATATAAAAAATATTATCATAATTCATATAAAAAAATATTCTTTCCCATAATAACGAATATTTTATATATCTATATATTTTAATCACAAAATTATTATTTATGTTTTAAATTCTCAATGATCGATTCTCATATCAAACAGAAAGAGATAAAAGAGTTAAAAATTTATATATCTTCAACGAAAGCGGGTAAATAAAAGTTAAGCAACATTGATTAATATCATTTTGTTCCATTACTTTCACGGGAAGAATTTTGGAATTTTTGATTTGGATATCAGATTATTGCTGCTGTGTACTTGCAAAAAAAAATTTTAATTACCTCTGGGCATTATTAAACAATATGATAAATCGGTGAATGAAAAAAAAAAAATTAATACCCACGAAATATGTACAACAATAAATAATAATATACTTCAGTGTTTGAAAAATTTTCGCAACAGCAAAACAAATTTTATAAAAAATTTCAAATAATAAATTCTATTCAATTTTTCATCGGTATTACATTTTCAATTGTAATTTTTCAATTTTATTAAATTTTTGATTTTTTATTAAATTTTTAATTTTATTGAATTTTTAATTTCATTAAATTAATTTTTAATTGCATTAAATTTTCAATTTCATTAGATTTTTAATTGCATTAAATTTTCAATTTCATTAGATTTTTAATTGCATTAAATTTTCAATTTCATTAGATTTTTAATTATATTCAATTTTCAATTTCATTAAATTTTTAATTGTATTGAATTTTTAATTGTATTAAATTTTTAATTATATTACATTTTTGATTTTGTTAATTTTTTAATTGTATTTACATTTTTAATTTTACAATACAGAAACTGAAAAAAATTGCGCAACACTGGATGGCACTGATTTAAATTGGAAAAATTATTTGAGATTTAAATAAATTTTTAACTAAAAAACAATTATTTTATTTACAAATTATAAATTACAAATTTACAAATCTTTATTTGTCTTAAATTTTTAATTGCATTAAATTTATATTTTTGTATTAAAATTTTTTTTGCATTAAATTTTTAATTGTATAAAATTTTTATTTGTATTAAATTTATATTTGAATAAAATTTTTAAATATTAAATTTTTAATTTTACAATAAAAAAATAAAAAAAAAATTGCGCAACCAAATGCAACTAATTAGGATGGCACTGATTTAAATTGGAAAAAATAATTTGAGATGTAAATAAATTTTTAACTAGAAAACAGGTTTTTTTTTTTTATTTTTTTCTTCCTATAACCAGCTGTCAATTCTCAAGGCAGAGAGATTCTTATAGTAAAGCGAGAAATTTTTATCTGACGTAAGAAATGATAGAAATGGAATGAGGAATTCGTTTTTCTGTAACGATTAACAAAAATGGCAAATCAGGTCCTTTGAGATTCTGCAGTGCTCGCGTGTGTTTTAATCTCCACAACGGGACAAGTTCATTGATCTTTGTATTATTTTTTTTTCTCTTTTTAATATAAAATCAACGTGCTAAATTCTAAACGGATATTTATGTGACGCCCCAACACAATAATCCCGTCAGTAGTTTCATCATAGATAATAATTTCGCCTCCCTAAGAGATAATATCGTATAATTATATTGTTGTTTGCGTAGAGGAAATAGTAATCTCTAAACAATATGCCTTTTAACGCTTGAATAATTGTAATTTCTTTCATGTTTCAAACACTCGATGATAATATATTAGTAGTTCTCCATTATTGTTTTAAATAAATTTTTAAATACCCCCCTCATATGGAGATTTAATCAATGAAACAAAAGAATAAATAGTTTCAAGTTACTTTATTATCTTCCTTATAATTCCTTCAATGTGCCGAGAGATTTATCGATGTTTTTTTTCCAAATTTTTTTTTTTACCAAATTACCCAATTATAATAAATTTCCAATAAGTTTTCGGAAATAAATTATATATTTTTTTGTCAAATATATAGTTTGAAAATAATTTTTAAATACATGTATAATTGTTTGGAAAATAGTTCCGAGGAAAAGTTAGGAAAGTTCGTTTACGAGGAAAGAATTTCAAAGAACAATATAATTAGAAAGGAATTTAGGAAAATAATTTTGTGTAATTATAATAATTTGTGCAAAAAAATTTGCAAAGAAGAAATAAAAATTTGAAAAAAAAAATCAGGAAGAGAAAAAAATGAAAATTTTGAGGAGAAAAAAAACTATATATATCTCTTTACGAAGTCTGACTTCGTATTGAATTATGTTTCATTAACGCATTTCCTTTTTCGTTCTATTGCAATTAATGGATAATACCTTTTTTTTCCTATATATACAATGTGATTCATATACTTTGAGAAGAAAAAAAAGTCGAGAAAAACATGATTTCGTTCTCACCTGGTTTTTTTTTCAGAATTAGAAAAAAATCACACCATTGCACAAATCTCATTTATAATTAATTGTCTTAGTTTTATTTTTCTTATCTTTTTACAGAAGTCATTAAAAGTAACGTATTTTTTTTTTTTTATATGTACAAGGACAAGTTTCGTTTGTCCATCATCTTGCAATTAAAAAAATTATCTTTCGGTCACTATACATTCAGGATAATTAAGTTTGTGTGTTTTTTTTTAATAATAAATGACAATTGCAAGACAAAAAAAATGGATTTGTACGTAATATATACATAAAAATAAGTATTTGTTTTTTAATGTCGGAAAAAAATTTCCGTTGTCATTTTTATGTATAATTCATAAATAAAAATCTTAAGTGGAAGAAAAGGGGGGACATTTAATTAGTAGGGAAAAAATTTTTTGGAGGTGAATCACTTTCAAATCGAAAACTGCTTCTTCTACTTATTCTTGGTTCGGGTTTTTCAATTTTTTCCTCATTTTTCGGTGCAATTTTATTTTCCAATGGCTCATCTTTTTTCGGCTCCTCATCTTTTGGGGCTATTTTATTTTCAATTTTGAAAAATGTCGATCCTGGCCAACCGGGCCAAACAAATGGCGGTTCGTCAATTATTTCATGTACTTCGTAAGTGTTACCCTGGGCTAAAAAAATTTCATTAATATTTAGCCTAAATTTTTTTTTTGTTTCAGAATTTTTTTTTTCATTTATATTAATTATCATTAATAATTGTTAACTCCAAATAAAATAAATAAACATTTTTTTTCTTATAGATATTTTTCATTATTTTTTGAAAAATTGAAATTAATTACGAAAACAAAAAAATACAATTGAATTTTAATACAATAAAAAGTAACAAGTAAAAATAAATCAACAAAAATATTTTTTTATTTTCTTTTATATACGATTTTATCGAATCAAAATTTTGAACAGGATTTTCAATCCTGTGAAAGAAAGTTTAAAAGATAAAAAAAACCTAAAAGGAAATTAAATTAATTATTAATTATTTTTAAAAATATTTAAAGCTTATAATTGTTAATAAGTTAATTATTTAATAATTATCAAGTGAATTAAAGAATAATTAATTAAATTAATAATTATTACCTATGTTAAAATAATAAATAATTTAATAAATTAAATAATTATTAAGTTATTAAAAAGTTAGTAAAAAAATGAATTTTGATTAAAAAAAAAAAAAAAAGGAATCAATTTACCATGACTTCCATGATGGAGAGGACGACTGATATGTCCAATGTGACTCACATGAACGTGACTACCAAAATTTCCAAGTCCATGACTTCCTGAAATTCCATGATGACCCACCAAATGATTATTCAATCCCAATTGATCTTTTTTACGATGATATTTTTCCTTTTGAAATTGAAGTTTTTTTTTTCTCAATTCTTCTTTTTGCAATTTTTGCAATCTCATTTGCTCCTGTTTTTCTAATAATTTTTCCTTCTTTAATTTTTGTCGTTTCAATTTTTCCTCCTGAATATCACGTCGTTTTTGTGGATTTCGATTTTTCACCAATTTCTCCACTGCCTGCAATGTGGTAATGGGAATCTGTAACCAAAAAATACAAATTATTAAAAAAAAAAAAAAAATCAAAAAATTATTTTTTAAATAAAAATTATTCTAAAAATGAAAATTCTGCTAAAAATAAATAATTAAATAATAATTCTAAAAATAAAAATTATACTAATAGAAATAATTACAAAAAAAATTCTATAAATAAAAATTCTATAAATAGAAGTTATTCTAAAAATAAATAATTAGATAAAAATTCTAAAAATAAAAATTCTCCATTATTATAATATTTATCTCGCAGACTTATTGTTTAAACGTTTCTTTTTTGCATTGATATCTTTTAAATATATTTGTTCCGAGTAAATCGAGAGATTTTCATACAAAAAAAAATAACGTTGAAAAATTTCTAAATCATTAGATATATTAAATTAAATGACAAACAGAAAGTGAATGAAGCATAATTTCTCACCTTGAAGACATTATCGATGGTTTCACTATTTTCTGGTGAAAAAGATTGAATAGCCGCGGCAGTTTGTTTAATGGCAGTAATTGGTATCTGTAAAATTTTTATAACAATAAATTTCACTACGTCAATAATCCCCAAGTTAATTAAATAAAACTTAACTATTTTATTTCGTATATATTTGCAAAAGAAATGAAGCAAAAAAAAGAAAAAAAAAAAAAAATACAACAGTAAGATAAGAATTAAAGAAATTTTTGCTTAGGTTAATTAACTTACATTAAATACACTATCGATCACTGCCCCATTTTCTTGTGAAATACCAGTTTGACGCTTGAGCCTTGCACTGTCGACTATCTAAAAAAGGGAGGGTATTTATTACATACATGCGTTTAGCGATTCATTTCACGTGTGATGAATACACTTTTAAAATGTGTTAAAAAAAAATCGCACAATTTTTTTTTTTTTTGGTAGATGTAAAAAAAAAAATTATCAGGCAAGATTGTTACTACAAACTTTCAACCAAATTTGGAGCAGGAGAATCTCGTAGGCCTTCAATATATTCTGATGTATATATGATGTTTGCTTTCACTCTCATGTGCCTTTACTTTAAAAGAGCTGAGATGATGATAAGTTTTTTTTTCCAAAAAAAAAAATATGTAACAGTTCCAGAAAATCAGATATTATAGGCAAAAAAAAAAATCTTTTTTGTCATGAAAGATTTTTTTTTTTTTAAATAATAAAACATTATATTCCTTAGATGGTTTTATAGGGACCACAAATAGAAGGTAAACTGGATACTTGAAAATAATGTGCCATAAAGCATGCGAAAAAAAAAAATCTTGTTCCTTTGCCTTTTTTGAAAGAGATGCTATTATACTATATTTCAAGTAATGTGTATCTTCTTTTATTTCACCATCACTTTTATTCATCGTTATAATTTTTATTATTATAATTTTTTTTTATTTTAATTTTTAATTTATTCTCTTCATTTCTTTTAACTTTTTTAATTTTTATTCTCTTTATCTTTTTATTTTAATTTTTAAAAATTTTTTATTTCAATTTTTATTTTAATTTTTGATTTTAATTTCTTACATCAATTTGTCATATTAATTTTTAAAAGTTTTTTAGGTATTTCAATTCTTATTTTAATTTTTGATTTCAATTTTTTACTTCAATTTTCGATTTTAATTTTTTGTTTGAATTTGAATTTTGATTTTTTGTTTGAATTTGAATTTTGATTTTTTTTTTGAATTTGAATTTTTATTTTTTGTTTGAATTTGAATTTTTATTTTTTGTTTGAATTTTAATTTTTTGATTTTTTGCTTGAATTTGAATTTTGATTTTTTGTTTTAATTTTTGTTATTATTTTTCGATAAAAATAGAAAATTTTATTTATTTTCTTTTTTCCACTGGGTGAAAACTGTTTTATAAACGCTTAATAGGCAGTAGAGCATCGCTATTACGCAGGAATGAAAGTTAAGCAATACAATACGATGAGTGTTTTGTTGGCCCGCATTTCGGGATCCTCTCTCATGAATTCGCAAAAAGACCTTGTGGACGATTACAAAATTGTTACATTATTTTCGGTTTCTCACTCATTCCTTTTTTTTTTTCCTTCCTCACGCGAAACCTAATGATTTGATAAATCTCCGCGAATACACTCCGACCACAAAATAAATAGGCCAATTAGATAGTAAAAAAAAAAAACGAAACAAAACAAAAAAAAAAACAATTAATTAATTCCATAAAAAGAGCGTACATAATATGTCTATTCCCTTCCACATGGCCTTGAATCTTATTTAAAGTGAATTCTTTTTCTTTTTTTGTCGAATTGAGAGGAAAAAAAAGGCTAACATCCAGGAAAAGGTATCTACATAATATGACGAAAGAAATGATTATAAATTTAAAAAAAAAAATAGGAGAAAAAAATTTATTCTAGATTTGAGATTATATTTTGCATATTTTTGGCAAAAAAAAAAGTGGGAGTATTATAATTTTATGAAATAGATTTGATTTTTTTTTTTTGAAATAAGAAACATTTTGTAAATGGAAAATAATTCACAAAAAGAAGGAAATAAAAAACAAATGTTCTTAATATACGAAATTTTTTTTTTGAACATTCTAATAATCGAAAATCAAAATTGAAAAGTATGGAATGGGTTTCTTAACGATTTTTCTAATTCAATTTTCCTAATTAATATTTTTGTTTCATTTATATTTATTTTGTTTTTATTTATTTATTTTACTTATTTTATTTTATTTATTTTTATAATTATTAATTTACAATAATAAACGGGCGTACAAAAATTAAAATGCCTTTTTGGTAGTAAATGGCACTATTTAATTTATTTATTTTAAATTATAATTCTTCCTAATACCAAATTATTAGAAAAATGGGAAAAAATTCCGCAAAAAATAGGAACAGTACAAAAATACTGTTTTATTTTTTCGGATAAAAACGGTTTCGATAAAATAAAAACAGTATTTTTGTACTGTTCCTATTTTTTGCGAAATTTTTTCATATTTTTCTAACAATTTGGTATTAGGAAGAATTATAATTTGAAAATTTTAAATAAATAAATTACATAGTGCCATTTACTACACGGAAAAAAAGAAAAAGTAATTTTTACTACTTTTATAGTAAAATGGGAACTATCCGAAGTTTTTGCGCATCTCTGGCAACTTTTAGTCCAAAAATAGTAAAATTTACTCTAAAAATAGTAAAAATTAGTACGGAACAGTAAAATTTACTACAAAAATAGTTAATTTTACTATTTTTGGAGTAAAAATTGCCAGAGATGCGCAGAAACTTCGGACAGTTCCTGTTTTACTATGAAAGTAGTAAAAATTACTTTTTCTTTTTTTCAGTGTACGAAAAAGCATTTTAATTTTTGTAAGTCCGTTTATTTACAAAAATGCTTCTTACAAAAAAATAGTTAAAATTAAAATAGAAAATTAAAATTAAAACCGAAATTAAAATAAATAAATAAAAATGGAATAATAGTAATAAAACAAAAAATTAGTAAAAAACGGAAAAATAGTAAAAAAAAAAAAAAATGGAAAAATCACAAACAGGAAAAATTATTTTTAAAAAACCAACTAAACACCAAGAGTTGAAAGAAAAATAGTAAACATCATTATAAAAATAAAAAAAAGTTCCAAGCATAAAGAAATCATCGAATTAACGAAAAAAGCGGAAAATAAGAATAATTCAAACTAGAGCCGCAATTAATGGAAATTTAAACTAGTTTGCCATTAAAGAGAAATAATTTAAACTTGAATTATACCATTAGAGATGATTTAAAAATAAAAGAAAGTTACGAATTGAGACATAAACTTTTTTATAATAAAATAAATAATAAAAACAGTGATAATTTAGACAAAGCTAAAATTTTTTTTTTTCGTTATTCCTCATTTTTTTTTTTTTTTTCACTCAAACTTTATACAATATTTGTAATGCGCGTCTCCTTGAGGCGTTACAGCCTGTAAACCTTGGAATGTAAATGATGCAAACAGATCATTGCAATCTTCTTTATTCATGCATAGTGTGCGCGGTATTAGAGAGACGATGATCTATTTTTTTCGAAGTGCATTACAAAGAATCATATATGAAGATGAAGAATAAATTAACGTCATTATATTGGAATATATATATATAGAACTCTATAACATATTATACAATTGTATATATGATATATATATACATGTATGCATATCATTAAACTTTCTCCTTAAAAAGGATAGCATACATAGCATTGAACAAATAATATCTTATCTCTCGAAACCCGAGCATTATGGAATCAATTTACGACTGGACCAAAATTATTCATAAATCACTGTTTTATTTTCTTGCATAACTCGAAATCAATCTAAAAAAAAAAAATTAAAAAAAAAAAAAATTACAAAATAACTATGTATATGCAAATTCGATGACATAAACTGATGAGAATATGCCATAAAGGATTTAGAAATTGAGGTTGGAGTTTTTTTTTAGATTTTTTGACACGCTTCAATTTTTTTTTAATTTGATTAATGATGATTAATTTTTTAATTTTTATCTAAGGGGACTTTTTTGGAAATTTTTTTTTTATGTCCTTTTTTTTGATTCACTATATTCAATTCAATATTTTTTATTTATCTATTTATTGGTGTTTTAATGTATTTCTTTAATATTTTTTACTCAATATTTGTTATTAAATATTCTTTATTCAATACTTTTTATTCAATATTTTTTATTCAGTATTTTGTTTTTAATATTTGTTATTCAATATTTTTTATTCAATACTTTTTATTCAATATTTTTTATTCAGTATTTTGTTTTTAATATTTGTTATTCTATTTTTTTTATTCAATATTTTTTACTCAGTATTTTGTTTTCAATATTTGTTATTCTATTTTTCTTATTCTATTTTTTTATTCAATATTTTTTATTTATTTATTGCTAAGAATTTCAATATTTTTATTCAAAATTTTTTATTCAATATTTTTACACGGAAAAAAATCTTTATCTGGAACAGCGATATGTTTCTCTAGAATAGCGAAAATTTTAGTTATTTTAGTGAAATATATTGCTATTCCAGTGAAACTTATCGCTGTTCCAGGTAAAGATTTTTTTCCGTGCATTTAATATTTTTTACTCTATATTTTTCGTTCAATATTTTTATTCAATATTTTCAATTCAATATTTTTTATTCAGTATTTTGTTTTTAATGTTAAATAAATAAATAAATATTTTTTATTCAATATTTTTAATTAAATATTTTTTATTTATTTATTGCTATGCATTTTAATATTTTTATTCAATATTTTTTATTCAATATTTTTTAAAAATATTTTTTGTTTAATTTTTTTATCCAATATTTTATACTTTATTTTTTTATTTTTTTTTCATTTTTACTCACGTGACCTTTTTTTTGAAACATTACTCCAATTAATTAAAATTTCATTTATTTTATCCACTGATATATTTTTTTACCATAAAAAATTTTCGTTGCATTTTTATTAACACATCACTCAACATTTTATAAAATCACATTTGACATTTGTCATTCGAGAAATATTTTTTTCCCACAGTAAAAAAAAGAACAATATAAGTTTTTTTTTTTTTTACATAAAATCTCCTATAATTATCAGCTAAATTAATTATTGATAACGGATGTTCTAAAAATAAAAACATCATAGTTCGAAGGCCAAAGCAGTATAATATTTAACTACACTTTTTTTTATAACGACACTTTTTTTTCAATTCCGCACTAGTGTAAATTTAAAAAACAATTAGTTACACTACACTTAGGGAGATTATTTAATTTTGCAAAATAAAAACAACAACAACATTGTGAAACATTATTATTGTCACATTCTTTCATTATGAAAAAAAAAAAAAAAAAATTGTACATTGTTTATCTTGTATTACAAAATAATCACAGTTAACTACATCGAATCGTTGACAGACAAGAGGGAATTGCAGTAACGATTTGTAGAAATTTTCATTGAATAGTGAATAATTTTCCATACAAAGTCAAAGAGGCAAATTGTTTCTTCAGTATAAATCGTTCAAAATTTATTGGACAATTTTATTTGCCATCTCTTTATATATATATATTTTTTCTTTTGCAAGATATCTTTATTATCAAAATTGCTTTGCAATTTGTTATTAAATTTTACTTATTGCTTTTTTTTAAAAAAAAAAATTTTTTTTGCCTAATTATAATAAAAATAAAAAAATTTTGTTCTAATTGTTATTGAAAAAAAAAATTAATTTTTTTTCTAATTTTTGTTATTGGAAAAAAAAATTATTAGTGTGAATAAAAAAAGTGAAAAACTCACCCCAGAGGAAAATATGGCAGAGGCCAGAAGTATTTTTAAATAAACCATTTCTCCGATGTTGTTATTATTAAAAAAAAAAAAAATAATGAAAATTTGCACTAATTATTGAGAAACGCAATCGCCAAAAGCGATGCGACGATTGGCGCGCGGAACGAAGAACCTGTCTATAAGGGCTGGCAGAAACCAAGTCCCACGCTAACCCCTCCGTTCAATCCGAGTTCTCCGATTGGATCCTCGATGAGAGAAGCTTTCTACAAGAACGATGCGGCGACGTGTATCTCCTTTAATTTTTTTTAATTGTTTCAGCATTTTTTTCACGCCAGCCCGAGAGAGGCGTTGGTCGACCTCGTGTATATACATACATACATATATATATATATACATGCCAAAGAGAGTTTTGTTATAAATGTTTTATTACATAAACGAAATCAGCCCCTCGAGCAATTCAACACGTTTTTTTGAATCACCTCCAATATTGTATATACATATATATATATATTTATTATCAAGTCACATAAAAGCCAAACCAAATTGCTAATGAAAAATACTGACCTTTCTTTTGCCGAAAAATAATTTAATTAATTCACTCTCCCTTTCATTTTATAATATGTCTTCAGTAATACACTGTATACAATATAAAAACAGCTGTTTTTATTTTTATTTTTTTACAAGAAATTCTTCAAATTGTCAATTAGTGGATTTTTTTGCAAGAAAATTAGTGTAATCATTTATTTATTTTTATTTAATAATTATTTTATTTTATAGCAAATTTTATGTTTTAGTTTTAGTTAATTTATTAAATTAATGAAATTTTCTGTATTTATTTTTTCATTTAACAATAAGGCCAAAAAATTTTTATTTATTATTTTATTTTTTATAGTTTACTTTTATTTTATTTATTTAATTTGTCAATTATTGAAAAATAGAAAATTAATGAAATTTTCATTTACTTAATTTTTTCTATTTAATTTAATATTTTCTGGAAAATTAATGAAATATTCATTTATTTATTTAATTTGTCAATTATTGGAATTTTTTCATAAAAATTAATGAAATTGTTATTTATTTAATTTTATTTATTACTTAATTATTTTATTTTATAGTTTAGTTTTTTTTTATTTATTTAATTTGTCAAATAGTGGATTTTTTTTCTGGAAAATTAATGAAATTGTCTTTATTTAGGTATTTTTATTCATTAATTATTTTATTTTATAGTAGGTATAGTTAATTTTTTTTAATTTATTTAATTTGTTAAATACTAATGTTTTTGGAAAATTAGTTAAATTTTCATTTATTTTATTTATTTAATTTGCCAATTATTGAAAAATAGAAAATTAATGAAATTTTCATTCATTTATTTTATTTATTTAATTTGTTAATTATTGGAATATTTTCTAGAAAATTAATTAAATTTTCATTTATTTATTTAATTTGTCAATTATTGGAATTTTTTCATAAAAATTAATGAAATTGTTATTTATTTATTACCTAATTATTTTATTTTATAGTTTATTTTCTTTTTTTATTTATTTAATTTGTCAAATAGTGGATTTTTTCTGGAAAATTAATGAAATTGTCTTTATTTAAATATTTTTATTTATTAATTATTTTATTTTATAGTATAGTTAATTTTTTTTAATTTATTTAATTTATTAAATACTAATTTTTTTTCTGGAAAATTAGTTAAATTTTCATTTATTTTATTTATTTAATTTGCCAATTATTTATTAGCCCGTTTAATAAATAAATAAATTATTGGAATATTTTTAACAAAAATTAATGAAATTGTCAATTATTTATTTTTATTCATTAATTATTTTATTTTATATTTTATTTAACACTTTTGTTTTATTTTTCATTTATTTTATTTATTTATTGCTATTTATTTGTGCAAATAAATAAATTTAATTTCGATGTTAAATAAATATAGCACCAGTACATAAATTCTATTCTATTCTAAAAAAAAAACAAAAAGAATTTATTTGAAGAAAAATAAATTAAATTTTTTTTTTTTATCGCGCAGATAAATAGATTTTTCCATATAGACACAAGTGTTTTATGTGAGAAAAAGATTTAAAGTCAGATTTCTTTGGAAAACAATGCATTTTTTTTTCATCAAGATATTTAGTGATGAAAAAGATGCCACTGTGAAAAAGATTTTCTCGATATAAACATGAGGAATTTGTTTTAAATTTAATTTATTTAATTACACGCATATTTTCTTGAAACAACAAAAATTGTTTTTCGAGATAGAAATTATTGTAAATTAATTTTTTCCTTCAATGACAAATTTTCAAGACAAAATTTTTATGCTTTCAATAATAATTTTTTTTTGTTACTCAATTTTTTAAATTAAAAGAAAAAATGTTATAGAAAAAAACAAAAAAATTAAAATTAATTAAAAATATTGAAAAATGATTAGTTAGAAATAGGTAAATAATAATAAAATTAAAAATAATAAAAAAAAAATACAAAGTAATTAAAAATACTGACAAAATGATTATTTTGAAAGAAATGAATACTTAAATAATAAAATTGAAAAAAAAATTACAAAAAAAAATTAATTAAAAATACTGAATGATTAGAGTGAAATAAATAATAATGAAATTGAAAAAAATGTTATTAAAATACAAAGTAATGAAAAATATTTATTTTTAATTACTTTGTATTTTTTTTCATACAATTTTAAATTAAGTATAAAAATACTAAATAGGCTCTCTCGTTCATCGAGTAGAGTCGATGATGAAATTGAAAAATCATACACTGGCATTTAAAATATATATGAATCAAAAATTTTTTTCCCTCGCGAATTAATTAATATCCATAATAATTCTCTTTATTAATACTTGAATGATAATTAATAACGATGACTAATATATGAAGTGAAAAGCAATGAATTAGAAGAATAATAATTAATTAAAATATTTTATAATTTGAGGTCAAAGAAAGCAGCCACTGATTTTCCTTTCAATTTGAACAAAATCAATTGATATAATATAGACTAATTATAATTATATTAAATAATTATATTATTCACAATAAAATTATACAAATAATTATATTTGAAAGTTCAATATACTCGATTTTTTTTTCTATATAATATAATTCTCACACTATTCGTGATTCTTCGAAATATATATACATTTCATTTCCATATGAAGACAATAAACTAAATGGAAAGTGCAATATTTTAAAAGCAGAAAATTATTTTCATGCTTTACCTCTTTTCGAGTAAAACTTCAATATCTCAGAAACCTGCTTTATTAAAAACCTCTCCCAAGTAATAATTGTATATTGCAACATATTGTGACTAATTTATATAAAGTCTTATTTCATTAAATGAGATATATTTATTTATTTCAGTCAAGAGATGAAAAAGAAGAGGAAAAAAAAATGAAATAAATTTGAAATATATAGAGTTTTTAGTTCAATGAGATAATCTCTTTGATGTGTATTAAATGACGTGATTAATTTCACCTCAGGGTTAATTGAAGAAAAATCAATTATTGCAGATGTTTGCGAATCAGAGAATTGAAAATATATATATACCAGGATCATATTATACATAATGATGCAGCTGCATTTTCGTCCTTGACGAATCTTAGTCGAAATAAATCACACTATATAGTGATTTCTAGTCAGAAAATAAAATACTTTCACTATTGCTTGACCTTACGTATATATATACTAAATATATATACCCATCTTTTTTGACCAAATAGTGAAAGGAATACGAAATTTTCATTACAATTTTTGTTTTATCGATCACGTTCATTTTTTTTTAATTCGAAATCAAATTGGATCACTTTCCAAATTGCAAAAGTCGGTAATAATTGAAAAAACTCATCACGATCGAAAGAAAGTTTTGTTTGAAATGAAAAATTTCTTTTTTGAAATTATTTTATTTTTTTTTTTTGGGTAATTTTTCTTAAATTGTCATTTAGTGGTGGTTTTGTTTTTTGTTTATAAAATAAACTTAGAGAGAAATTCTTAATGAAGCAATCAGTAATTGACTTGGCCTTATTTTATTAGTATTAAAACTCCTTTACTAATTTGGAAGTAGAGAGTAAGCAGGCAAATGTTTCGCTTCTTTTAATGTGTGGAAAAACTACATTCTTTTTAAATTTCGCGATAAAGTAGCTCGAAAAGGAATTTCAATTTAATTGACAAAAAAATGTCACTCTTGTTTATAAATGTGATAATTTGACAAAAATTATGAAATAAATTTATTTCTTTCGAATTCAAAAAAAAAAAAAAATTTATTTCTATTTTAAAACTATTAAAAAGTAATTAAAATTATTAAAAACTATTAAAACCTATTAAGAAATATTAAAACCTATTAAAAATATTAAAATTTAAAAATTTATTACCCTTATTAACAGTTTTTATTAGTTTTAAAATAGAAATAATTTTTTTATTAACCATTTAATTTAAAAAATTTTTATTTGATTCAAAAGGATTTTTTCCATCTTTTACATAATCAAAGACAAAAAAAGAATCAAATGATTTATTCTTAAAAAAAAATTCTCTATAAAATCTGCGTATAAAACAATAAGCAATCTAGATTTCTAATATTTCTAGTCCATTATTTATATGTACATTATAAATACAGTAAAACGCATCGATCATTTTCTGCTATTTTGAGCACTAAGTAATTTGTTATAAGTTAAATTGCAATCTATTGTGTAATTACGGAAAAGAATAACTTAATAAATATACACATAATTTATAAATATCAAATTCTGTATACGTAAAGAAAAATTAGATTGAATTTTTTTTTTTCCAACAATAATTAATTCCAATTTTTTTTTTCTCATTAACATAAGGAAGTATATGTTCTATTTTTATTTCTAATAAAAAATATAATCAATCTAAATTTTCTTATTTAAAAAATAAACTTACACGTTCTTTGGCCATCTTCATAAAAAAAAAGAAATTTAATAAAAAAAAATCTACTGACTTGGCTGTTAATATGGCAACACACACTTTGATTTCTTTTTGCAGAGAAATATAAAAATTCCCCCATCTTTCTTTTTCGAAATTTTTTTTACTTTAAAAGGCATCGGGATTATCTTTAAGATTCATGCCAATTTGATTTCCAAGATCGTGTCGAAATTCATTTATTGTCACTTTTGATTGCTGAAAAAAAAATGAAAATATTTTAAGTATTTTTAAATTTAAAGAAATTTTTTTAAAATAATTCTTACATTTAATGCATCTTTCCATTCGATATTAAAAAGTCTAACAAGACCCTTAACATTTCGTCGAATAATTCCTTGTAATAATGATTGTGTTAGTACAAAAGGTGCTTCGGTAGTTGTAACATTTGTATCATTTGTCAAACTTTTTTCTGTTGTTGTTAAAACAATCATACCAGATCCTGGTCTCTTCGTTGTTGGATCTGGTTGAACGGCATTGCTGAGAATATCTGATATTTGACCAATAGCTGATCGAGTTTCATTGACAGACTAAAAGATTAATTTTTTTTTTTTTTTTTGAAATATACAATTGAAAGTTTGACATTGAAATTCTTTTTAATGGAGAAATAAAATTTTAATAATTAAAAAATTATGCTTCATTCGTAAATTAGAAATTATAATTGTTAAAAAAATATTGAGATCATGAAAAGTAACACATAAAACATAAAAACGTAAAGCATAAAACATGGAACATAAATCTTGGAACATAAATCTTGGAACATAAATCTTGGAACGTGGAAATTAAAGCATAGAACACAGAACATAAAGCAAAAAACATAGAACATAAAGCATAAAACATAGAACATAAAGCATAAAACATGAAACATAGAACCTGAAGCTCAGAACATGAAACATAGTACATAAAACATAGAACATAAAGCAAAAAAAATAACATAAAACATAGAACATGAAACATAAAACTTAAACCTTAGAACATAAAGCATAAAACATGAAACATAGTACATAAAACATAGAACATAAAGCATAGAACCTACAGCAAAAAACATAGAACATAAAGCATAGAATATGAAACATAAAACATAGAACCTAAACCTTAGAACATAAAGCATAAAACATGAAACAAAGAACCTAAATCTTAGAACCTAAAGCACAAAACATGAAACATAATATATAAAACATAGAACATAAAGCATAGAACCTACAGCAAAAACATAGAACGTAACTCTTAGAACATAAAATATATAACATAAAGCATAGAACCTACAGCAAAAAACATAGAACATAAAGCATAGAACTTAAAGCAAAAAAAGAACATAACACATAGAACATGAAACATAGAACTTAAACCTTAGAATATAAAGCATAAAACATGAAACATAGTACATAAAACATAGAACATAAAGCATAGAACCTACAATAAAAAAAATAGAACATAAAGCATAGAACATAAAGCATAGAACATAAAGCATAAAACATGAAACATAGTACATAAAACATAAAACATAAAGCATAGAACCTACAGCAAAAAACATACTAGATAAAGCATAGAACATAAAGCAAAAAAAAACATAAAACATAGAACATGAAACATAGAACCTAAACCTTAGAACATAAAGCATAAAACATGAAACAAAGAACCTAAATCTTAGAACCTAAAGCACAAAACATGAAACATAATACATAAAACATAGAACATAAAGCATAGAACCTACAGCAAAAACATAGAACATAACTCTTAGAACATAAAACATAGAACATAAAGCATAGAATATGAAACATAAAACATAGAACATAAAGCATAGAATATGAAACATAAAACATAGAACATAAGTCTTAGAACATAAAGCATAGAATATAGAGCATAAAACATGGAACATAAAACATTGAACATAAATCTTAGAATATAAGGTATAAACATAGAACATAAAGCATAGAATATAAAGCATAGAACTTAGAACATAAACCATATAACATAGTACATAAAAAAATAAAGAATAAAACATGAAGCATAGAACACAGAACATTAAGCAAACAACATAGAACATAAATCTTAGAATAAAAATCATAGAACATAAAACATAAAGTAATCGAACTTAGAGCATAAAGTACAGAACATAAAGCATAGAATATAAATCATGAAACATAGAACATAAAGCATAGAATATAAATCATGAAATATAAAACATAAAGCATAGAATGTAAAGCATAAAAAGTAGAACATTGAAAATAGAACATAGAAGCTAAAGCATAGAGCATAAAATTTAGATCATAAAACAAAAAATAAAAAGTAAAATAAATCGTGAAATTAAAAGTATCGAAAGGAAAATGAAAAATTTAAATAAAATAATAATTTTTTCGAAATAAATGACATAAAAATTAGAAGAATGATTAATTTTAAATGAAATGTTATTTTTAGAAATAACAATAATGTGTATATATATACAATCGCGGTTCAAATATCATTCAAGGTAGTAGCCTTCGAAAGAGGAGACAACCAGCATAGGGTTCGTTCCCCTACTTTGAATTATTTTCCAAGGTTAAGAGATTAAAATAAAAAGATCACGATTCGCGAGGTTATAGTATATAAAAGAAAGGGATTTTATCTGAATCGATCTCTTCCGGAAAATTTTTCTTCTCTCACTCCCTCTTTATAACTTTTGTAACAATTTTTCCAGACTACACGACCTTGATGTCATAAGTATAAAGCAAACATTCATTTATTTCAACTCCTGCACAGTATGCTACCAAATGAACAGCACTACACTCGTGAAAAAGTATTTACAGGCGTTATTTCATTAATAAAAATTAAATTAAAAAAAATTATATTGAAAAAAATAATACTAAAAATTATAAATTAATATTAAATTGTATTTAGAAATTTTTTTTAAACGATTTCCTTGCCGAGTTTTAAAAAGGAATTGATGCACTTAATGATGAGTTATGTGACGTTAATATTTTTAATGACAGTGAAATAATATGATATAAAAAAATAAGAGTATACCGGAAGTGTAAATTTTTTTTAAAGCTCAATCTAATGAACATCATAATTTCTAATTTATATTTGAAGCTATAATTATTAATCCATAAAAGTATATTTTCCGTGCGTAAAATATATATATATACATATATTATTATCATTTATTATTATTTTTTTTTAAACAAACCTCAAAGGCAACTCTAAACAAGGTCCATAAAATTCCAGGTCTTTGTTTTCGAGTTTGTCTAGCCACACGTCTAATTTCTTCCTGTGAATTATTTCCCGATGAAATTTTGTCCACGTTCAATGAACCATACTCGGAAGAACTATTTCGATTCATAGACAAAGAATTGTTTACTGTTTTTCTTGATTTTACTTTCAAGTCGTCAAGTTCACGGAAATCATGTAATTGAGGCGCATGCTTTTCTTTATTCCTCCAATCTTTATGTGTTTTGTAACTTTTATCGTTCACGTAATAATTATAATATAAAGTCGATATCGCTTCACTTGGTGAACGATAATCATTATAATTATTATTACGTGCCTTCTTGTTCAATAAGTGCTCAGAATTCGGAGTAATCTTATATCTATAATTATTTCGATAATTCCCCGAGGCTATTGTGGGATTTTTTAGAATTTTTCCATTATTATTATTATTATTATTATTATTTTCATTTGCAATCATATATCCGGGTGATTTTGATTTATTGGTGATTGATAAAAATTCATTTGCTTCATTTTGTTGAATTCCAAAAATAATTAATATTAGCCAAATTATGCCAATTTTATTTATCAACAGGTTCATCTAGAAATTGAAATATTTTAATGTAAATAGTAGAAATAGAAATAGAAAATTTTCAAAATAATATGAAATGATAATAGGAATAGAAATAATAGAAAAAGAAAGAAGAAATTAAAAGTGGTAAGAAAAGAAAATCTTATTTTAAGATATGAATGGGCTAGCAAAAAAATTAAGACACGTCTTATTTCAAAACTCTAATTTTCTTGAAAGTAAGATGTTAGTAGATCTTAAATTTTTTTCAGTCTTAAAATAAGAGTAATTTCTTCTCTTAAAGACTTCTCATGATTTTCTTTATTAGAGTGTACTGAATTTCAACATTTTTCTTAATTTAAGAATTTCTTTCTTAATTTAAGATACTGGTGCTTAAATTAAGTAACACTTGTATTAAAATTCAGAAAATATTTCCTGAATTTCAGTGAACTGAACAGGTAAAAAATAATATTATTACTTTTTCATAAAATAGATTTGAATTATTAATTAATCTAATTGAGCACTAAATATTCTGAATTTAAGACTCAGCAATTTCTAAATTTAAGATGCTTCTACTTAATTTAATTAAAATTTTTTTATTATTTTCAGAATTTCAATACGTAATACAATAGAGGAATACTTAAATATGTATTGACTGAATTTCAGCGTAAAATTGTTTTAATTTAATAATTTCTTTCTGAATTTAAGATACTGATACTTAAATTAAAAATAAAACTTCAGCTGAAATTTAGAAAATATTTCCTGCATTTTAGTGAAAATAGTAAAGAATAATATTATTGAAATTGTTTTATGAAATAGATTTAAATTAATAATTTATCCAAATGAAGCACTAAATATTCTTAATTTAAGACTCACCAGTTTCTAAATTTAAGATGTTGTTAATTAATTATTTAATTTAAATTAAAAATGTATAAATTTTAGAATTTCGTAACAGAAGACAATAGAGAAATAGTTAAACTTGTATTAACTAAATTTCAGCGTAAAATTTTCTTAATTTAACAATTTATTTCTGAATATAAGATATAGATGCTTAAATGAAGTAAAACTTGTGCTAAAATTCAGAAAAAATTTTCTTAATTTTACTGAACTGTAAAATAAAAAATAATATTAATATTGTTTTATAAAAAATATTTAAATTAATAATTAGCTGCAATGAAGCACTAAATATTCTTAATTTAAGATTAATCAGTTTCTAAATTCAAGATGCATCTAATTAATTTAAATTAAAATTTATAAATTTTAGAATTTCACTTCATAACACAGTAAACACATATTTAAACTTGTATTTACTGAATTTCAGTAAACAAAATTTTCTTAATTTAAGACTATTTTAGTACTGAATTTCAGCAAAAAAATTATTTTAATTTAAGACTCTTTTACTACTGAATTTCAGCACTTTTCTTAATTTAAGAATTTATTTCTAAATTTAAAATACTAGTGCTTAAATTAAGTTAAACTTATGCTGAAATTCAGAAAATATTTTCTAAATTTTAATTAACTGACACAGTAAAGAATAACATTAGGATTATATTCACTGAATTTAAGCGTAAATTTTTCTTAATTTAAGACTGAGTTTCAAAGGCTGTAACTAAATTTCAGAAAAACTGTTTAGATTGAATTTTTCTTCTTAATAAATTAGGATTAATTAATTTATTTAAATCAAATAAGACTTTATTTGACAAATAAAATTTTTATTTACAACAAATAAAAGTGATTTACGACAAATAAATTGACTGAGACAAAAATATACGTTTATTTAACTCAAATATATTATATTTAATTCAAATAAATCATTTCTGTAAGATTCACTTTAAAATCTAATTCGGCATTTAATGACTCAGAAAAAATTTTTTAAAATTATTTATCTCTGATTTTAAGCTATACTGGTACTTAGATTATAAGAAAAAATTCTCCTCTCTAAAAATCATTTCACATGATTTTCACATGGATAATAAATTTAATAATTGCTTCATCATAAAATTTCAAACAAATTTTGTTGATTATTATTTATTGAACATTATCAACAGTAATTAAAATAATATGTTTCGATTAATTTTCCTAAAGCTAGAAAATAACAGAATACTTCTTCTAGGATCAAAACAAGAAATCCTGCGCGCGCGGACATTATGTCAGTATATATGCATAACTAATAATCAATTTTTTTTTTTTTTGGTATTTTTAAAAACAGATTAGCGAAAGTCTATAAGTTTATTAAAAAAGGTCATTTGTTATGTAAGATATCCTAATTGGGTTTAAAATGAAAGTTTATCCTCGGGTGAAGGATCTTCGAATGTAAAATGCCTTTAAAATATCAAGATAACAATTACCTGTGATTTAAAGCATCTTTTATTATTATTCTCTCTCTCTCTCTCTCTTTTTCTCTTATGCTTTTTAGGACCTTTAGGCTAACTATTAATTCAACTCACGTATAAATCTACTTACTCTTAGTCTCACTATTGGCAAATAAGTACCAGTTAAAGATGTCAGTACAAGAAATATTTCCCCCCCATTTAGATTAGCTAATCTTTAATCGTAATAAATAAATAAAAAAAATTGAGATTTTTCCAGCTAACATTCAATTCACGTTCAATTCCTTGACCAATATTTTTTAAAACCAGTTTTGCGTTTTTCCTTAATTTTTTTCTTCTTTAATTCTGTATTTTTATTTAATTTTTCTATTATTTTATTATTTTCTTATTTCATTATTTCATTATTTTATTATTTTATTATTTTATTATTGTGTATATATGTTTTTTTTCACAATTGGGTCAATATACTCTTTTGCTATTTATAATCTTTCGTTACATAAGAATTGCAGAATAATCTTAAGTAGTTTATAGAATTGATTTCTTCCTCTTATTTTGACAAAACTATTACGTTTGTCAATTGTCTTTATTCTTAAGTGGATTGTTTATCGCGTGATGGTGTTGAAGTGGCAATTTCATTAGGAATTTTTCTCTTTTAGATAATTTGAAAATTTATATTGAGGAGAGAAAGTCCCTTATATTCGGAATTTGCATACGGAAAAGAAGATTTGTTTGAAATAGCTTGGGAAATTTATATATTGACAGAAGTGACATAGAATTTTTTTTTCTATTATTTAATAATAATAATAATTTAATAATTTTTACATAATAATTCAATATTTTAATAATAATTTAATATTTTCATAACAATTTAATATTTTAAAAAAAGTTTAATATTTAAATAGTAATTTAAATATTTAAATAAAAAAATTTAATAATTTTTTTTTAAAAATATATCAAATTAATTTCAAGCCGTGAGCATTAAAAAAAAATTACAATAATTAAAAAACAAACTAATGGATTTAATTTCCATTTTCATTAGAATATTATGAAACTGAAACTTTTAGAAAAGTTTTAGAGATTTTTTTTTCTTTTAAATTTTATACAAAGTAATATGTATATAAAGAATGTTATTTCTTGCGATAATATCTTCATTAGAAAGATTTTAGAGAGAAAAAAAAATTATATATTCGTATAATTTATAATAATATTTATAATTTATTACAACCATATAGTTATTAAAATGTATATATAATTTAAATTTCTAATTGCCACCGAATTTAATAAATGACTTTCGAAAGTGATTTTAATTTTCTTCGAAATGCGATCACTTCGGCGAGAATTATTTTTTTTTTGTCCATCTGATGATTGAACACCCAAAAGTATTTTGGTGACCAATTTTTCATGCATATACTTTTGTGACGTCATTTGAAAAACATGACCTGAATTTAAAACGCGGAGATATTTTTACGCAACGCATAAGGTAAATCTTTTAACGGTAGGAGGAAAAAAAATTTTTTTAATTAACAATGAAAAACAAAAAAAAAAAATAAAAAAAATATAAATAAAATAAAAAATAAGAAAATAAATAAATAAAAAATTGAAATGACAGTAAATTGAGAAAATTTTAATGAATAGTCATATAGATAGAAAAGGATGTGAGATTTTTTTCTTTCAGTACATAATAATGCCTCTTCTATCGCGGTAATATAATTAATATAATTCTTATTTTTCATGTAGAGTGCGGAATTAAAGAAAACGGTATTTTTTTCCCCCCGGTGATATGTAATTGTAAAATAGAAATTTATACCAACAAATAGAGATTGGAAAATAAAATGTCAATTTTTGCCTTTCTCGTAAATATAATATAAATGATTTGAAATGATTTTGTTAACGATTTACTTTTTCCAATGTTATGTGCCGCGAATTGACCATTTCCCACTCATAATATCCCCTTGAGACTTTCTACGCAACTTCCGCGAGACATTTCAACAAAGATTTCTATTGATTACGAAAATGTAGCATTCCACCAAACTCCAAAAATTATTAAAACTATTTTTTCTATATTTAGAGACAAAAAAAAAAAAATTCTACCTTATAAATATTACAAAAAAAAAAAATATGAATATAAACTCGATCTTCTTCATTAGAAATTATTTTCGTTGTAGGAAAATAAAATCAGTATCATAAAAGAATAAATTAAAAAAATAAAATAAAACGAAAAAGTATAAAAAATATAAAAAAAAAATTTTTAAATAAAGAAACTTATAATTAAAAATTAATTAAAATATATTATAATAATATTGTATTGGTATTATTTAAACTTTAGGATCCAGTAACATAATTAATACGTAATTAATAATAAAATAATAAAAAAAAAAAATGAAATCGAATAGTAAACAAATAAAAATTCAAACGAAAAATGATAAATAAAACAATAAATAAAATCGAAGTAAATGAAACAAAATTAAATAAGGTAAGAAAAAATAAGTTTAAATTAGATAATATAATAAATAAAATTAATTATTTTTATAAATTTATTTAATAATAAATAAATAAATAGAAATAAATAAAATAAATTTAAGATATAAATACAAAAAATAAATATAAATAAAATTATAAAAATATAATAATAAAAATTTATAAATATAAATTTATTTATAAATATAATTTTTGCACAAATTTAAAAGAAAAAAAAAGACAAGTTTTCTCAAGATTATTTTGCATTAGAATAAAAAAAAACAGTACATACCATACGATAAATAGAAAGACATATATATATAGGTCCCGTAAATCACATTGGACACTTGGAGTCTATTTGATAGTTAAATGGATTATATTCACTAAAGATTGTTAAACGATAGTGATTTTTTCGCGATTCTTGACCGAACGATTTCATGATAGTGATTGATAGCTAGTGCCTTTGCCACCGACCAAACGACACTTAACCGTCCTTGCTTGGGCGAGTCTGGTGGAACCATTGGGACCACGTGGACCGCTTCAAGCGCATACAGCAATCGTTCACTTTCACTCTTTATTTCCCTCTGATAGTCCAACGACCACGTGTTTAAGTTACCGCACACGTATAATAATAATAATAATAATTCAATAGCAAGCACGCGTTTCGATTGAATTATTGCCTACTTATTTCTATTATTATTATAAATATCAATTATTTTCATTTTAAGTGTGCAAAAAAAAAATTGAGGACAAATTAAAAAAAATTTTATTTAAACAAATTTTTAAATGTAAATCTTTTTTTTATATTTGTGTACTTTTTGCCCGAGTGATAAATTTATCAATAAGTGAATAATAAATAAATAATAAATAAATAATAAATAAATAAAAATCCATAGCAACCGGTACCATAGTAACTTGTACCATAATAAATAAATGGTACTAAAGCAACTGGTTCCAAAGTAACTGGTATCAAAATAACTGGTATCAAAGTAACTGGTATCAAAGTAACTGGTACCAAAGGTACCGTAGGAACTAAATGGTACCAAAGTAAGTGGTACCAACATAACTAGTACTGAAGTTACTGGTACCATAGTAACTGGTACCGTAGGAACTAAATGGTACCAAAGTAAGTGGTACCAACATAACTAGTACTAAAGTTACTAGTACCATAGTAAGTAGTATAATAAGAACTAAATGGTACACTGGTAACTGGTACCAAAGTAACTAATAACAAAGTAACTGGTACCAAAGATACTAGTACCACAGTAACTGGTACCAAAGTAACTGGTACCAAAGTAACTAGTACGAAAATTACTGATACCATAGTAAGTAGTATAATAAGAACTAAGTGGTACACTGGTAACTGGTACCAAAGTAACTGGTACCAAAGTAACTGGTACCAAAGTAACTGGTACCAAAGTAACTGGTACCAAAGTAACTGGTACCAAAGTAACTGGTATCAAAGTAAGTGGTATCAAAGGTACAATAGGAACTAAATGGTACTAAAGTAAGAGGTACCAACATAGTTAGTACTGAAGTTACTGGTACCATAGTAACTGGTACCAAAGTAACTGGTATCAAAGTAAGTGGTATCAAAGGTACAATAGGAACTAAATGGTACTAAAGTAAGAGGTACCAACATAGCTAGTACTGAAGTTACTGGTACCATAGTAACTGGTACCAAAGTAACTGGTATCAAAGTAAGTGGTATCAAAGGTACAATAGGAACTAAATGGTACTAAAGTAAGTGGTACCAACATAACTGGTACTAAAGTTACTAGTACCAAAGTAACTAGTACCAAAGTAACTGGTACCAAAGTAACTGGTACCAAAGTTACTAGTACCAAAGTAACTGGTACCAAAGTAACTGGTACCAAAGTAACTAGTACTAAAATTACTGATACCACAGTAAGTTGTATAATAAGAACTAAATGGTACACTGGTAACTGGTACCAATGTAACTGGTACCAAAGTAACTGGTACCAAAGTAACTGGTACCAAAGTAACTGGTACCAAAGTAACTGGTACCAAAGTAACTGGTACCAAAGTAACTGGTACCAAAGTAACTGGTACCAAAGTAACTGGTACCAAAGTAACTGGTACCAAAGTAACTAGTACTAAAATTACTGATACCACAGTAAGTAGTATAATAAGAACTAAATGGTACACTGGTAACTGGTACCAATGTAACTGGTACCAAAGTAACTGGTACCAAAGTAACTGGTACCATAGTAACTGGTACCAAAGTAACTGGTATCAAAGTAAGTGGTATCAAAGGTACAATATGAACTAAATGGTACTAAAGTAAGTGGTACCAACATAACTAGTACTAAAGTTACTAGTACCATATTAAGTAGTATAATAAGAACTAAATGGTACACTGGTAACTGGTACCAAAGTAACTAATAACAAAGTAACTGGTACCAAAGATACTAGTACCACAGTAACTGGTACCAAAGTAACTGGTACCAAAGTAACTAGTACGAAAATTACTGATACCATAGTAAGTAGTATAATAAGAACTAAATGGTACACTGGTAACTGGTACCAAAGTAACTGGTACCAAAGTAACTGGTACCAAAGTAACTGGTATCAAAGTAAGTGGTATCAAAGGTACAATAGGAACTAAATGGTACTAAAGTAAGAGGTACCAACATAGCTAGTACTGAAGTTACTGGTACCATAGTAACTGGTACCGTAGGAACTAAATGGTACCAAAGTAAGTGGTACCAACATAACTAGTACTGAAGTTACTGGTACCATAGTAACTGGTACCGTAGGAACTAAATGGTACCGTGGTAACTGGTACTAAAGTTACTAGTATCAAAATTACTAGTACCAAAGTAACGGGTACCAAAGTAACTAGTACCAAAGTAACTGGTACTAAAATAACTGGTACCATAGTAACCGGTACCATAGTAACTAAATGGTTATAAAGTAACTGGTACCAAAGTAACTGGTACCAAAGTAACAGGTATCAATGTAACTGTTACCAAAGTTACTAGTACCAAAGTAACTAGTACCAAAGTAACTGGTATCAAATTAAGTGGTATTACAGTAACTGTTATCAAAGTTACTGTTTTCAAAGTAACGGGTACCAAAGTAACTGGTACCATAGTAACTAAATGGTAACATAGTAACCTGTACCATAGTAAGCATATATTTACAAATAAATCATTTTTTGATATAAAAAAAATAACGATTGCAGCGTGCAATAAAAAGTATGATAAAGTGACAAATAATGTTTTTCTATGTGTCCCCGTACACGTTAAAATAACAATAATTATTTTAATTATCATTACGTGCAAGAAGAATTTCTAGCCTTATTTCTTGGAAGATAATGATATTATATATTAAAGTCTGTCGAAATGGATTGAGAGGTGAAAAATTCGACAAAAAACAAAACCAACTGTAATTCAGCCCTAAAAAAAAGTGCATATGAATGCAAAAGCTAATCACTACCATAAACTTGTCTTACGTGATAAGTTGTCAGAAGTTCCCGCTCTCAAAGAGGAAAGTTCATTCTCGCTGCCATTATATATTTTCTTTTTGATCTTGTGCAATTCTCTTTTTTTTGGATTTACTGACAATTATCAATTATATATACTGTATATGGTCTTACATAAACAATAAGAAATTCGAATAATAATATTCTCATCATAATTTTTTCATTAACAAATTTTTAATTAATTTTTTTGTGGGCCTTTTTTTATTTCTTTTTTTTAACAAATTTATTGTATTATGTATTACATTGTAATTAAAAAAATAAATTAAAAATTTTTTGAACAATTTGCTTTATTTTTAGAAAAATTTCGTTTTTTCAAAAGTGAATAAAAATATTAGTGAAGCCTCAAAAAGTCTCATCACCTGTTTTTTTTAACTTGTGAAGCAACAGTAAAGTGGAATTTTCATAAAACCATGAAATTGTCATTCCATCAAAGAAATCTCATAGTAATTAAAAAAAAAAAAAAATTATACGAGACGAGAGAATATTTAAATTTTTATAACAGAAATAAATATCTAATAACAATCATAAGAGTAAAAGTAAAGTTTTCGAAATAGACATCTATATTGTCTAACAATTTTACAATTCAAAAGAAACATGGTATGAATGTGACTATATATATAAGCGAGGTAAAGAACAATATTCTACTTTATAAAGAGTTGCAAAATATCTTCTAATCTGACAGCAACAGGTTAACTTTCGAATAAAACCTTTTTCTCGTTCTTTATAAAGAACATTGAATTTAATTGAGAATTCATAAAAAATTTTCTATATAGAAAATGATCTTCGACCCTCTCTTCTTATTTCTCACATTTGTTACTCAAAAAAAAAGAATATTCCATATCCTATGCAAAAAAAAAAATATTTTAGACTCACATTTGACCTAAATCCTTGTAACCAATCCATTTTGATTTTGAGTCCAACTTTCCACGAATAATCGTAAAATAACAACAAAATTTTGAAATAATTAGATAAATTTTGAAAGTTTTGAAAAATATTTAGAAAATATTTCCACTTTTCCATTAATTATGCCTTTCTTGTTTCTCTTTTTTTCTAACAATTAATTTTTGAATTTTTTTATTTTTTAAAAATTAAAAATTAAAACTAAAAAATAAGGTAACATTATTTAAGTATGCAGTAAACTAATTAAAAATTAATTTTCTTAACTCTTGAATTTTTTAATTTTTATTTTTTAAAAATTGAAAATAAATCGCTGACTAAAAGAAAAGGGTATAACAATAATTAAATATGCTTATTAAACTAATTAAAAAATAAATAAAAACTAAATAGAAATTTTTTATTATTCCTCAATTAAATGCATTGTAAAAAAAATTTTAATTTTCAAATCAATTCTTTCTTTTGGCAATAACGATTAAAAATATTACAATAGATTCTTATATTTCGTGTAATCATTGTAACACAAACTTTTTAAATAATTATTATTATTACACACTTTTTAAGTAATAATTAGAATACTTTCTTTTCAGAGATAATTATTATAATAGTCATTTTTTCCATAATTATTATAATATACACTTTTTGAGTAATTATTAAAAATACTCGCACTTTTTAAAGAAAATTTTATAACACTTTTTTTTTTTTAAAAAAGTTATTATTACAAATTCCACTCGTTTTAAAATAATTACAATAATTATAATTATTAATCACAGTATTTAGATGAATCTTTCAAAAAACTGTGTTCAAAATGAACAAAATGAATATTTCATCAAAACTTGATAAATCCATTTTTATGAATTTTTTTTGCAAACAAATTTTTATTAAATTCAATGAGATAAAAAACTTAAAAATAAAATTTTAAAAATGGATTTATCATATTGAAAAAAAATTTAATTTATATAATTGATTACTCGACTATTATCAAATAAATATTTCGTTAAACCAAATAATTTTTCTTTCAGTCAACTAAATTTTATTTGTTTCAAACAAAGAAATTATTTGTTCAAATAGTATTTATTTAATTTAACAAAAATATGAATTTAATAATTAAATTTT